TTGTTTTAAGTAATTTTTTTTCTCAGTGCAAACACTTTTACTTAAAATAAAAAAATTTTACTTGCTTCAAGAAAATTATTTCTTTGAGGGGTACCTGAAACATATTTATTTGTTTCAAGTAATTTTTTTTCTCAGTGCACACTCGATGCAAATAAACAGGTTTAGGTACGAGAACTGTTGAGACTATTTCAATTATTTTGTTAATCAATGGCAAATTATATCAAAATTTCTAAATCGTAAATAACTATTGAAATACATTATATAATTCCCTATATTTATGCATATATATTTTTTTACAGGCCGATGTATCTCTCATTCAGTCAAACATCTTTTATAATATATTAATTCGCGTGCCTGTATTGAGAGGAAGTAACGGAGTCATTGATCTCCGCGCGCAGATGACGTATTCGCGCCGCGCTACACGCGGATTGTCGAAAAAAAAAGCCTTTCACCTATTCATCACGCGTGTGCGAGCGACGCGTGACCAATTTCGACCGCGTACTTTTGGTAAAGTCAGCACTTTGCTGGTTCGGAGGAAACCGATTGTCCGCGCGATCGTTTGCGGTCTATCTCACGTGTATGCGTGAAGTTACTGCCGCGTCAAGCGACTGCTTGAAATTACGACGGTCGGTTCAATTTGTGTATGACCTACAAGAGCCCCTCAAAAACTTCCGTGTGGCGTGCTAAAGGTTTCAAGGACATGAGTAAGCTGCAGCTTGAAGATGTAACGAAATATTATTAACGTATAATGTTTTATTGATATCACAGATTATATCATGACATCAAAAAAAAAAAACGCAAGTATTGCTCCATCTGCAAGGTAGCCATAAGGCTAGTGATTGTGAATTGAAGTAGATTATTTATAACTGCCAAGTAAAACCGTTATGCAAAAACGATAGTAAACGAAAAACTAATGAAACATACGAATAATTATTTAGGTTGCGCTCCACATTTATCGCATTCCAAGTAGAGTCATTTCAACAAGCTTTTAATATATATATATAATATAATATTGTAACTTTATAAATTATTTGAACGTAAATTCATAGAAGTTTAGAAACTCTCCTCTAGTTCCTATGAATTTGCGTTTGTATATATATATATATATATATATATATATATATATATATACATACAAACATTAATAATTTTAGAAGTTTAGAAACTCTCCTCTAGTTCCTATGAATTTGCGTTCAAATAATTTATAAAGTTACAATATTATATTGTAGATAATATATTACAGCAGAAAACTTTTTGAATTACACTTCTGAGTAATTAATAAGCTTTTAAAGTCTGATATCGTATTTATAATTTCTGATACCATATTATTACAACTTGCACTTGATTGAGTCACATTAATTTTTCAGTCGCTTATGTTACGTAAAATCAGAGAAGCCACCAAGGGGGTACTCACCAAGTTCTGTATCTGGCGATTTTGCTCGGCGGCGAGCCTAGCGATATCACTCTCGGTCTTCCGCACGAACTTGAGCATCTCCACGGGGCCGAGTCGCAGGAATTCGTCGTCGCTGATCCTCTGTCTGACCGGCGCGCTCTGGCCGTTGCTCACCGCCGGGTACTGACTGCTAGGCGGCAAGTACGGACCCTGGCCGAGCTTGGGCTGCTGGAGATAGGCTGACGATTGCGGCTGCTGCTGCTGCTGGCTCTTGGACGCCGCCGCCGACGCGGCAGCGATCAGCGGGTTACCCGGTTGGGGATGATGATGATGATGCTCTATCCTCGGCGAGTACTTGCTCTGCGCATCCTTCGACGTTGGCTGCTGCTGCGGTTGCTGCTGCTGCTGCGATTGTGTCGGCTGCTGCTGTTGCTGCGGCTGATGCTGATGATGCTGCGAGGACGGCGGAGGCGGCGGCAACGTGCGCGGCTGCGTGCTCTGATGATGCTGGTTCAAGGCCGCGCCCGGACCTTGATTGCTGCCGGCCTGGGCCGAGCTCGGCGCCGACGTGCCTCCGTTGGCGAAGTGCAGGTGATTCTTCAGGATACCGCTGGTAGGCTGCGGCGGGGGCTGGTAGCGCGGCGGCAGCTGCTCCACTGGCTTGATCACGTGCGGAGGATGATTATGCTGCTGCTGCTGCTGCTGCTGTTGCTGCTGATAATGCTGCGGCTGCGGCTGCTGCTGCTGCTGCGGCTGGGACTTACTCTTATTGGACATCGCGGCTAATTTAGCTCCAGGCTGCGCCGTGTCCCATTTCAGAAAGTCCGCCGCGGCCTCCTCGTGCCGGTTTGACCCGCCGAAATCTGGGTCAGCGCGCGATCTCTCACGAGTAGCGGCGGCGGCGACGACGGCGGGCCCGGTCCGCGCGATCGGCCCCGCGCGATACATACGTCGTTTCCCTCCACCGACCTCCACCGGGGCCTCGCCTTATCGCCGTAGGGGACCTTGCTTCGCGCGCTATACTCTTTCCGTCGTTCCGATTTCTACGTTCTCCTTCCTTCCCTCCTCTTCTTCGGTTAGTTCTTTTTTTTATTTATTTTTTTACCTCCTCTTCGCCTTCCCCTTTCGCGCTCGTCTTCTCTCGCGCGCTTCTACGTCCCGAGTGCACCTGCCGGAGCGGCGCCTTACCGTATATTGCGTATTGCGAAAGAATCACCGTCACTCCGTTGGAATTCACTTATGGTCCGTTTCCTCGGCATGCGGTTACAGTCTCGGCTTTCTATTCCACATTGCAGATCGCGACTCGGGAGAAGAACCGCGGGAGCGGCGATTATGATCCAGGTGTAAACTCTACCCGATTAACTGCGGAGATGAAGAAATCGGACGCGGCACGCCGCTCTCGCGAAGTTGATATACCATCACGATTAAGTCGCACCCCGTCGTCTACGTCTGCATTCTCCAGGGAATCGTGCCAGTTATATTGTAACAATTATATGTCTTTCACCGTTCACAATGACACACTTTGAAAGGACATCGTATAGATCGCGTTATCATTCTGGAGTTATATATAATACGGATCGTATAAATCGAGAGCTATTATCGTCTGGTTCTCGCGGTGTCCTGGACTCGCTACTCGTCCGGATACTTTATAGCGAGTGTATATTCTCTTCCGAGTGCGCTGTTCACCTTGCGCGACTGCTGTCACATACCGCGCAAATGCGCTCTCGCGTACCCGCGTCACCGTCGGTCTCGCAACACAATCGTGGCCTTCGCGTTCAACTTAGAGCCGCATGCTGGCTCACAATCGACGTACCCAGTCCCTCGTGCCGCACGCTAATCCCCGCGGTGTAACGCCGTTTCCCCTCTATCAGCGGTCACGCGTCTCCCGTCTCTCTGCGGCTCTCTCGGGCCGCCCTTCGCTTCGAGTGTGATGTGGGTACCGTGGGTATAACGTATATAAGCGAAGCACCGCGGACGTTGTGTCAATTCCACTCTCGCAGCGTGCACGCGTTTCCCTTCTCTTTCTTTCGCTCCTTTCAATACGTCACGCACAGGCTCCGGCAGAGCGAGGCATGCGAATCACGCACCACAAATTCGCGCGTTTCTCGTTAAAAAAAAAAAAAAAGGAACACCGCGCTCATCTCCTCGCGTTCGCGTCCACGATACGCTGGGATACATCGATTCTCGTCTATTAGCAGCGCGCTCTTCGCCTACGGACACCGTCGGACGTCGACGTCGAATCAATCGTTCGGTCTTCTATCAATTTTCTTTTATCAACATTCCTGCGTCACACCTTCACGTGCGTCTCACCTCCTCTTGCTTCGCGGAGAGAGCAAACACGCCGCCTCGTCAAAGCGTGCACCGCGCCAATTGCCACCTGCCTCCAGAAACGCGCGGGGATCGTATACCCGTCACTCTGCAGAGACTCTGGAGCGACTCGCAATCAGATCCGTGCGGCTGTCATCGTCCTGTCGCGAAAGACGTCGTCGAGGAAGTTCGACGAAGGGAGGCCCCCGCGCGCGCTACGTGTCGCCGTGGCGCGCCACGAGACACCGTCGGCGTAGTCCCACCAGCTGGCTTCCTCGGCTCCTCTCGGCTTTCCCCTTGTCCTCCTGCACGCCCAGGCCCGCGGCCACGCAGGAGACGCGCATTCCGCACCCTCTGTCACCCGATCACGCGGCCGCCGCGCCGCGACGAGCTGCGGGCGTTGAGCTATAGCCGACACGGCACCACGCCGAACGAAGCACCAGAACGCTGCACCGCACCGTCTGGGGAACTCGCGAGAACGATCACTTACCGGTCGCCGCGACACGACCGCCGTCACTGCACGATCCGCGCTGGCAATGCCCTGCTAGCCACTGCTAGCTCGCTCGCTCGCTCGCTCGACGTCGGCCACCGCCGCGCGCCGGGTCCCCGTTTTTCTCGCCGGCGGGCCGCATTTCACGGGATGCCCAGTGCCGTGCTCACCGGCCGCCCGGGCCGGCCGCGGGCCCGCGTTGACGTTGCGCGCTTCTACGCGAGGTCTCCCTGCGCCCCGCGTTCCCTCACGCGATCGTCGTTATAGGACTTCTCTCTTATTTTGATTGTGCACGTTATAATCTTCGAGCTATACGTTCAAAAGCTGATCGGCTCAAAACTATATACACGGGGTTCTCTTCCTCCTCCTCCTTGTTCTCTTCCACTTCCGACGATTATCATGAAGCCCGTGTTATTTTACGACTCGTGTGGTCCTATATACCCGTGCAATTCACGTCCCAAATGTTATTCTTGATTAACTTTTTCACAACGATTAATTTTTAATCAATTCCCTCTTTATAATATAGTTACTGCAGAGCGCCGCAACGACCTCCCGACGGTGTCCAGTGCTCGCAATCGCAGCTGATCGCAATTGAATCTCACTTGTCGCGGGGCTAACAACATCGGATACGAGGATTCACGTCGTCGGGCCAACGTTTCGTCAAACGCTCATCGATACCCACGTACGCGGGTCCGGATCAGCACGCGGATCGCGCTCGGAGTCACGTATACCAACAACATGGCGGTTGCTCGCGGGACTTGAAGTGATTGCGGAGTGCGGACGACGCCGGGCCCCCGTGAGCCGTGAAGTCGCGACGCGGGAACCGCGTCGCGATCTCGCGATTGGCTCGCGAAAGGAAAGGGTTGAAGCATAAACTGCGAAGTCGTGGGAGGACCCGAGATCGGCACGCACGTAGGGCTCCGCGGCTCACGTATATATCGAAATCGAAAAGACGATGATGTTATGTAAGTAATAAAATGCAAATTCCGTGTATTTTCGAAAGTTCGCGAATCGAGATGACGAGCTCTAGCTTTCCTATTTCTCTATTTACTAAATTAAATACTTGTTAATTACATTAAAATTACTTTAACATTTAATATTATGTACTGTTGAGATGACGAGCTCTATCATATATAGCTTTCCTATTTCTCGATTTACTAAATATAATTAATTATATTTAAATAACTTATTATACTTTACATTTAATGAATGTACTTATATTTATTAAAATGCAATGTCTCAATCAAAGAAAAAAATATTTCGTGAAACTGTAAATATCGTTAAATAAGTCCCGAGTTCAGAAATCGGAGAATCAATCCTGGATTTCCTGACCGCGATTTTCTGAAAATGCTCGTTGTCGCTTTCTCGAGGTTGTCGACGGCTGAAAAATCTCGACTTTTTCTGATTTCTTTAGCGCACAATCTCGACATTCCCGGAGAAATTTCCGACGATCCTTCGTGCAAGAGTTTCCCGTGGGACTTTCCGGTCGTCTAACTTTCCAGCGGAAAATGCTGATTAGGCTCAAACAAGGGAGCATTAGCACCTTTACGATCAACAATTAAGTGGAAAGCACGCGGCATATAATTTTCGCGTAATTTCTATCGATGCATCGCGTGTGTCGACGGCGGAAAAAGTCGACGCGCGCTTCCTTCGTCAGTTACCTGCAGCAATTCTGCAATTTGCGGTTTCTGCAGAAATCGGTAGCTTAGGCAATGCGACGGATGCAAAATTGAGGAAGCATCTTTCTCGATTATTTCTCGAGATGAAAATCGCCGGATCGAAAGTCAAATTTTTTAAAAGTCTCGTTACTTGCGCCTGAACTTAACTCTAGTCTCTCTCTCTATCTCTCTTTCTTTTTTTCTTCGGTCTTCCTTCCTTTTTATTCTTTTATACAAATCACCGACATTCGTCGATCTCATGGACTGTACCGCACGGCAGGTGTTACTTCTTCACGCTCGTTCCTCGGCGGAGAGGTAATCTTCGAAAATATTCTACCTGCTCCGGCATATGCGTGTGTGCACGTGTACAGAATATACAGATACACAGATCGGGTATATGTGCACCTGCATTCCAGCGTCGTTCGTGTTTTACGCTGGGCGCGTCTGGCATACGGCGCGAAGGGACTAGGAAAAATTTCAAAAGCGGCCCTTTAAATCCGGTTCCGTCAATGCGACGGAATGTCGGAAAAAAGCCGAGTCGATCAGAAGCCCGACTGACGCCGCGGCCTATTGTACCGTATCGTTACAAAAGCCCGTCGGCCGCCGTGTGTAAATACGACGTATGCAAATGCGACAGGAGATACGACACGTCGGGCCTTCGACGTCGTGATTGAGAGATATCAGAATTGATTAGAATAATATTATAATTTTTGTAGCGGAAAAAACATAAAAATTCGTGCATCTAAAGAATTAATAAGAATATCTAAAATCCGCGCGTTTTATCTTTCACATACAAATTGTTTATCTTTTATCTGCATTGGCATATAATTTTTTAATTAAATTAATTCACGAATTAAATCGTTAACTTCATTGAAATATATGTTTTGGAATCATTTTTAATTTTATATTTGTATACATAATTCAAAAGCGTTGCGTAAATTGTTTTCCAAGCAGCGCGCCATCTCGACGGTCCCTCGTCAAACTGTAGGCGACGAGCGAGATTCGGAAGATATTTGAGAAATCTAACTTATCGTGCGGAATGGAGCTAGAAGATACCGAAACTCGCCGGCAGTTGTCGCCGGGTGGACGAAAAACTGCAATCAGTAGACTGGCCGGAGTTGCGATGCGACGCGCCGCGCATAGGCGACACTCGCGGGTTACGTTCAGGTTGCATCTCACGATCAGCGGCGCGTGCATCACCGGGACCGGGGGGTGCAGAGAGTGAGAGCGTTTTGGATCCGCGGCGAGAGCTCCGGTTCGGAGGAAAATCGATGGCCGGGGACGAGGTGTGTCGGCAACGACGACGGTGAATTTACGACGGACGGGCGGACGAACCGGGAACGTGTCCTCGCCGGGTCGCGACGAACCGCGTGGAGCTCGAGAGGGATCTTCGATCTCGCGACGCCCTCGCGAATCCGCCGCCGATCGTGCACGGGAACAGCGCGCACCTTTGCCTCGCACCCGGGCGACGTTGCATCCTCTCGGCCTCGCGCGCGTCGACCGTCCCTCTCATCATGGTACCCGAGAACGTCAGCGTGCAACATCGGCGATCCACTGGCAATCGCAACGTCCGCGGCACCAGCGTCCAACGGAACCTACACGCGATGTATCGGGTCAGAGTCTGCAATCCGGATTAAGGACGGAGGACGATGACGACGTGCTGGACGGGCCAGGTAAGAGAAAAAGAGCTCGCGCCTGTGGTACGCCTCTCGGCGCCGCCAACCGGACCGCGGCATCGGTCTCGGGGTGTACGATTGGGTGTAATTATAGCGAAAATTCTATAATTAATGTAGAGAAGTTTTTATCATAGACGGCGTTTAATGAGAGCAGGCGAGAAGTAAGCAGAGCCGAGTATATATATTGAGATACGTAAATTATCTAACGGCAGAAACGTAGAGAACGTGTGACATAAATATACTACTGTAGGAATTGGAGTATTACTCTCCATTGAGCAAACTATGAAAATTCCAGATTTGTTATCTGTTTGTAAGAATTACTTTGGTTCTTTTTATGTTATCTTTCAAAAATATTAGATAAACGTTCCGTGCGGCACGAACTAGGCTGGTGTCTATTTTGAGGTGGAAATCGCGTGAAGTCATAATAATAATAAATTCTCACGTTCCTGCTTTTCCTCCGCCGGCTACAGATTATTTGATCAGCAATTTAATAGAACATATCAATAAATGAAGCGATTGAATTTAAACTCGAAGTATCTGAAAATATTATGCCGACTCTTGCGTAATTTGATCCACTGAGCCCACGATAATTTGAGCCTCCAGCTCCGATTCTATTTTTTGTTAGACCTAGCGTGCAGATAAAACGTGATTTCGAATACGTGGAAAATTATAATCTAATTGTAAATCCGAAATACAATCAAATGCGAAATATTTGTTTTACGCACAATACATCAATCTTTCATATATCTCAAATTTCTTATTTGCCTCTCATTGCTATGGATGCATTAATCTTTCCATATGATTTTTGTCCGTGATTATACCAATTATTAAGCATACATATTTTAACGAACATTTTATCGTGAAATTGTCGGCATTGGTTGGCTACGTAAAAAAATAACAGCAACATCCGCTTGTCTCTGCACACGCGATGTTTATTTAATTTTATTGTAATATAATTAGTTTTTATATTGCATAAAAATATATATATTGTATAATTATATTTTTATATTGTATAAAAATACAATTATATGTCTCATATATACGTCTTTAAAAATATTCATTGTGGTTTATATTCGTTAATTCATTATAAGTTTTATAAAAATCTGCCTCCTATAAAAATCTGCTGTTCGGAGAAATTTAATTTAAGAATATCAAAAATTTAAATAAATAAATATTTCTACTGAATAATAATTATACATATTTTATATATATTCTGCTGCGTGTTGAACATGCACACGCACGCACACATTCACGCACACGCGATTCTAATTTTGGAGCACAGATACGTTTCTTCCATGGCGGATCTCAATGTTACGTCATTTTTCGTAATGTCTGGAAATAATTCATTCGTTACGACATGCGGGGCAACTTTGTGCTCATGCATATAAGAGTTATTTATATATATTATACGTAAAATTAAGTTGTACCTCACATTCATCACGTAATTCATTTACGGAATAAGATGCTATAAAAAGTCTGGAGAAAAAGAACTGCTCCGAGATATAATAAACCGACGATTAAATTAGCTTCCAAGTAACGAAGATTATTCATGGACAAAAATCATATTCGTTCTATTTAGAGTTTCGCGTGATATATCCGTTCTTTTTAATCCCACATAGATTTCTAGCGATAGAAAATCATTTATTCGCAACGCACTCACCATATGTCGCGAATATTTCCATTAATTCAGGCAGACATAACCCTCTCCCTCCTCCCCTCAAGCCGTTCAAGTCTGCCGACCGGCGTCGTTTGATAACCAATAGGCGATATTAATGCCAGACATTGGTGTTTATCTTGCAACACGAGAATTATGGCGTTGTAACATTGCGGTTCAAATGCTCGCTATCGATGGGCGATAATTAAAGAGTCGTATATCGAAACCTTGCTCCGCATTAACCGGCCATTATTTATCGCCACTTTAAAGTATATTTCCACTCGCACTACGACGAAGAAATATCCTACATATATATTCGCTGTAATCTCAGTGATAAAGATCGTGTACTTTCTCTCGTGTACTTTTCCTCTTCCTCCGTTTCTATTAATTTGATTAATCTCGTTGTTTATTCTAGAATAAACTCAATCATCTCACTTACATTAACAATTTTGCGATCGGATATGTTTAGAAATATGATTCAACGACGACATTCGATTATTTGCCTGATTTATACACGAAAGAACGAGCGACTCGTTTTATTTACTGTAATCCCTGCATTATTGATATCACAAAACATCGTTTTTCCATCTCAATAATTCGATACAGCACAGTTTATCTTGTCATATGTTATCATACGAGAGTTACATGAAAACTTTTTATCTCTTTACCAATTAATAAATGATGTGATTTTCATTTATATACATACATATATTTTATTTTATATTTTATATGTTATTTTATCCAATTTATTATCAGAAAATAAAATTTTTTAGTTCTCTTTAAGTTGTAATAAAACTAGTTTGAATCATGCTTCGTATCTCCGCATTAAAAAAATTGGATGTTGATGAAAACAATCGTGAGCCCTTATCTCGCGTAAGATAAGATCGTTTTTGCATTCTAATGTTATGTCATTATCAGGGTGGGGGAATTTACTTTTCGCGTATCGTAGGTTTATGTGTTCAAAGAAATTAATTTCTCGAATTCTTCTGAGTAATTCGGTGAGTAATTAGCGTGATTGCTTTAGAATTATGTCCTGTTCGCTCTGAAAGAATATTTCAGTTTTGGGGCCTATAATTCAGGATATTCAATATCGAAAGTCAAGAGGCTGCAACGCAAGCGACGTGCCCTTTTTGTGACAGTTACAAGGAAAAAAAAGGAGGTGTATTAGGGGTAATGCGATTTAACTTTACACCATGCCCCAGCTATCTTTTTATTGATGTCGTACAAGTAACGTCGATCGATAAGAACGAGCCATGCCTGTAATCTAGGAAATGTAATCTAGGAAAGATATTCACGATGTGACGTCGTAACTTATTGTTAGTGGAAACGTGAGTGCGTGACTGGCAGAAGTGCGTCACAATTCTTGCGTTTTTTTTTTTTGAATTAATTATCTCAAATTCTCGCCGGCACCGAATATAGAAGATGATAACATACACCGGTCATGACGGCGAATATATTAATTCTGTTCGAAGCAGCGTGAGATCATATATTAATGGCAAAACATCTTTTTTTTTTACCGTCCGACAAATTAGTCATCTGATCAGCAGACGTCGTCGTTTCGAAATCTTGTTATTAATAACTGTCAGTCGGAAGTAATTTTACTTCGTCATTTTGCATCGACGCTTATATAATCATTCACTCGCCGGCAACTTTTAGTTCGACTTCCAGCGGCATAAATATATATATTATAAAAAAAAAATAATCGTAGCGATTGTCTTTTCGTCCGGTACGTTTTTATCTTTTATCGAATCTAAGCGTCTAACCTATCTGTACATCATGCGGACGTATAACAGATTGTGGAACATTTCTAATTGCAGGAAAGTCGTAGCGCAAACGCAGTCTTGTTGCACCATGACGAGCGCACCGCGGGGACTGATATCACACGGCTGAAGCCGCCTTGTGAAATCGCCATTAATCGCACGGCCTTCGGACGCGATACGAAGCTTCCGCGGGAAAAACGATCGCGCGTGGCGTGCACGCTCCAGTACGACGCCGACCGTCGCCGGGTGAGGAGCAACTGTTGTCACTCAGCCGTGCCCCCGGCGTAACCGGTCGACCGACCTAAGCTCACGTTTTCCCGGTAATCGGCCCCCACGTCGTGCAAGCGGTAAAATCAGAGAGGACAGAGGAGATCAGATCGACGCCCTTCTTGGAGGAAACAGGTGCGCGCCATACGATATAAGTATGTATTTTTTTCTCTGTCCCTTTTTTCTCTCTCTCTCTCTCTCACTCTTTGTGTATATATTTATACGCGCGATTCCTGACATTCTACGCGACGAACGGCCGCGTCGTTGGATAGCAATCTACTCGTTCTATCGATCCGCAATTATATCTGTCTGAATACCGAAGGAGGTATAAAGTGACAGCGTGATTGACGGTTGGGAAATAAAAGGGAAATGGGAGAAACGAGAACGCGTGTGTTATGTGTATACGTCGTACTTTCTAAGATCCCCGCCACGATTCGCATTAGGCGGATCTCGCGGGTATCTCAAAGGCCTTTCGAATTTGTCTGTTAAGGGCGTATAACAAAGAGGGTGCTCCGAACTTAGAGATATATTAAAGTCGAATTTTATTCGTAAGATTGTAAAAAGTAGTAAACTCGAAAAATGAAATTTTCTCTCGACGGGATATTCTAAACGGCTAGCTTAGAGATATATTAAAGTCGAATTTTATTTGTAAGATTGTAAAAAGTAGTAAGATCGAGAAATGAAATTTTCTCTCGACGCGAGATATTCTAAACGGGAATATATATACATATATAATGTTCGTTTTCAATCTAAAAAATATTATACATGAATATTATGTCATGTTATTGATACATGATATTGATTCACGAAGATTATTAAGTGGAAATGGACGTTTATGCCGCGTCTATCTACTTCTGCCTTTTAGAGATAATATCGTAATGGCAGAAACTGTCGTTCTCCGTAAAAGCAGCAATCCGTCATTTGTGTACCCGCGACATATTGCGCAGATGACAATCGTAATCGCAACTCGAGTAGCTTAAAGAATGTCGGATGAATTATCCCTTTATAAAATTCTTTTTCGACGGGCTCGCTCGATTTTCCCTCGTGATATAATTCCGTTCACGTGCGCTCTACCATACAAGCCTAAGTGACGTAATTGTCGGTGTACTGAATGGGGTATGCGCGGGCGCTTAAATCGTCAATTATCCACCTGAGAACCTCCGCGAAAAGCTCCGTATTTCGTAATAGAAAGCTTAATCTAACAATAAAACGGGAAATCAAATCGTAATCAATATCGTTAAATTTGTGTACCTTTGGGGAGGGATGGGAATATTAATATTAACGTTACATGTGAAATTATAATTTTAAATTTCGCAATTATCGATATCTGCAATATTGATATTAATAATAATTATATCAATAAATTTAATACTGTATTTTATAAATTAATGTTTTATCTTCGGCAATGTGATATCGATAGAAGCGCGGAATATACATATATATATAGGGATTGCGGATAAACGAAGGGGCGTACTATTTAAAATTTTGAATGACTGCAGAATCGTGTTTAATTACATTATCGTAATTTCATCTTCGTTACGTAAAGCATTACCGAAGCCAACGACCGACGGTACAAATTTATCACCTGGGCGGTGCAATTTAATTGCGCGCGCGTATTTCAGCTCGGTGAAATTCGGCGGATATTCAGGTTGCGCTTCATTCTAATCCTCGTCGCGAGAATGCTCCGTGCAGGAAAAAAACACGGTTTGAATACATCCTCAACCTAATGCATACCTCTCTTACGTCAAGTTTTAATTTATGCGTCGCTTCAATTATCAGCTGTCTTTTCAAAATTATCGTCACAAGCGCGTTACGCCATCTCTGCAGGTGGGAACAAACGGTGACTTGCAAGAACAATTCTAAAATTGCAGGATGTCTATTATCTTGTACTTGTTCGTATCGAGAAATATATACGGTTATCGAATTATCAGGGCTCCTCCTGCTATATGTATATCTTTATTTATGCGGGTGATAAGTATGTATGCGCAATTTCAACAGCTCTAGCAACTGTTGATAGAAATACGAAATACTCGCACAAAAGTTAAACTTAGAAGCGAAACATTTGTTCTAGATATGAGAAGCTTAAGTCAGAACAGATTTTCGAATAATGACGTAGCTTTTATTAAATTAAAGAGACGCAGAAAAAAAATATAGCTCTGATTAGTAATTACTTTATCGTTCATTTACGATAATATTATATATAAGTAACTCGAATCTTTTTAGATTGACAGATAAGAAATAAAAAAAACTCGATAAATAGATATTACAGAAGGCAGTAATGAAGTTATCTGCTTTGATATGTTTCCGATTACAGCACGAATCTGAATAATGTATTCACAACGTGATCGGCACGAGTACATACATTGTGAATCGCGCTGCATCATGCTACGAAATTGTGACACGTTTTTTTTTTGCGATGTAAAAGGAATGCAGCTTACGTACGCGTTACGTAACTATTGATCTCGATAGCAAAAGCGCGACTACACGTGCTGCGAAATTTCTGCGAAGTCTTGCTCTTGCCAGTAATCGAAATTCGAGACGATAAACTACGCGATCGTTTGGAGTTTGCGAGGCGCAAAGGGATGGAGATACGAATTCGATTCGATTCCTTCTTTTGTTCATATAAGGAAAAAAAAATTTTATGAATCGCGTTACGATGATATTCGGAGTAAGAAAAAAATCATAAGGGAATGCATCGAAAACCAAACGCAAAAATAGTATAAAATAAATTAAGGGACTCACACAAGTATATAACGCAAATATTTTTTCTTTGCAAATTGTTAGTTGAAACATTGTGCTTGAATCATTGGCTAAAATAGCCTGGTTTTATCTAGCGATACCGTGAAATATGCAAATGTTTAGTGTGCATGCCTGCTATTAAACAAATGGTACGGTATACGTATACTGTTGCGATTGTGAACGTCATTCCATTCAGCCGCCTAATGAACGTAATGACTATAAACATAGTTCGCGATTAATGCACCGCGAGAGAGTTTGTTGTATAAGTTAACCCGTAACGACGCAGGTTAAATGCCGAGATAATTGATGCGCCGAATAAGAGCCAGCTTGTCCTCACGGTTCTTGTTTACTGAATCGTCCGGTGAAATTGATTAACATTTGTCTGCGGCGCAGCGTGCGTTTCGCGGACGAACTGATATACCGCCGGCGTACAACAGGACTTTTCAGGCACGCTTTGCGATATCAATCACGATTTCTCTAAAAATCTACACATTTTCCTTCCAACAGATTTGCATTCGTCAACGATGCATTTTCCTTTTCCTTTTGTTGTTTTCTTTTTGCAACAATCGACACGAATCGGGTAGCATCACACGTTTGCATCTATTGCCTGCACGTATATGACGAGTAATTGAATATTCTAAGAGCATTTACATTTCATCATTTCGCGTGCGGCGTTCTGCAAAAGTGGAAAAGGCTAACAGTTATTTCTTATTAATGAAGTTAATGTCAAAATCTGGCAATCTTGATTGAATCTCCAACTCTCGTTCTTTTACTTTCAAGACGAAGTACGTGTCGGTGATCACGGCAAAAGTTTGTGTCAGCTTATACATAATTTTCTGTCTCGTATTTGAATTGCAAATAGTCCAAATGAAAGCTCGTTCATTAAGAAAATTTTGTAAAACTCATTCGAAATGTTTTCTTTCGGTCTTGTTTGTACTTTGATACCTGAATTAAGTTACGAGGGATGGGGGAGGGGGAACTGCAATAATAAATGAAAGTGTTATATTCCAAGATGACCTCGCACACTTCGACACGTTGTAAATCTCGCCCATATCATTTTTTCCTCTGTGTGTTCCGAGTTTTGTTTATAGCTCTAGGAAAGCTACGCGTCAAGTTACGCATCATCTTACATTATGGTCGCGTCTGACGTCGAAAAACGATCTCAAATTTACGGACATTTGTCAGTTGGATCCGGTGACTCCAAGTCTTCGGTGATTTCCGATCTTAGAGATCAGCATCTTTCAGCGTGTGTTATCATCATTTCCCTAAGCCGAGGAGGCATATCTCGATTCTTTTCAACTAATCAGTTTTTTCATTCAGAAAGATAATTACGCGTGGCGCTTCTTATTTCACGCTGAAAGAACATATCTCATTGAAGAAGATTAGTTGTTATATCTGAAATTATCTCAGATATAGTAAAAATCTTATTTTAACAGTTTTGCAAAATCTTCACGCGCGTTAATACCTACCATTAATGAATTGTGGAATCAAGATACAGCCTTTATTCTATTTATGGTAGAAGAACAGATTTTAAGGAATTGTCGGCTCTATGACACTCTTTGTCGGAATCGAAAAAGTAAGATAACGATAATATGATTTTTAAGAGATTTCTACTAAATACTAAGAGAAACACTATTTTAGATAAAGAAGAAGACAGCCTACGAACTGTCGGGTTTATCTTTATTGGCGGTAATTCTTAAAAGTTATCTTTTAAAACGATAGTCAAAAGTTAGCTGATGAAATATACTTCGTGGCTGACTCATTTCGCGATTAGATATACTGGCGGACTGCTGGACCATTCCCTTGTTTCGTTTCTTTGGAATTCAAGGAATAGGGAGAGGGGGGGGGAGAAAAAGAGAGGTAAGGAATCCGGCAGGGACAGGAAAAAGACAACAAACCGCTACGTACTTAGAAGTGAAGAAACATGTATTCGTATACTTTTAACTTATATACGTGTGGATGAAGGCAGATTTAATTCCGAAAAGTTATCGCAAAGTTTAATCTGCGTGGATCAATACCTCTTTACTCGTTTCACCGAATAGATACGTAGTTTACAAGAAGACTTGTAAACTTTATTTTCGTTAAAATCGAAGAGTGAGATCCGCGCGTGTTTAATAACGAACTTTCAAAACGAATATCCTCGAAGGGTATAAATCGATGACGGTGCTTCGTGCGATGTAAGAGTAATCTTCAGATCGTCTCGCTCACCGGAATTGATTACGTCTAACTAAATTCCGTTCAGACGCCCATTTCTATCAACGTAGCTTGACTTTAATCTCGGTTTAATTTGCTCTTTATCTTTTTCTAATCCTTTAGAACCTGACGAAGGTAGAAGGTAAGTTAAACCAAGATTAAAGTTATTAGTTCACGTTGATAGAAATGGATCGCATTCTCGCCGCAAATAATCTTACGAGATTAAGAATAGAAGACGCCGCGCGAAGCGCGCTCAGCATTGCTAAGAGTTGTTGTAGATATCTAAATGCGCTCCTACAAACGCACCTGTTACAATGTCATAAAGATACGGCGGCAGCGCGCCCGTTACCGTTGCGTCAGAATCGCGATTATATATGTTATGTCACGACATAATAAAACCAATGATCTCTTACTTCAGTCGCGCGCGCGTGCGCGCGCGTAACGCCGGGTCTAAAATCGCGTGTCTTGTCTTTTTGAGATAACCGCACTTCTCTCTCGCGACCGATATTTGCACAGCTTATTTTCCACGCGTTTAGAGAATAGAACGTATACATACGTTAGAAAGCCTGAAAATATATAGATAAAACGTCGTTAAGCGTCGTGTATATATATTTAATCGGTCTCGTCGTAAGTAGACTTGTCATGCACGAGTCACTACCGTGTCTTCTGATTGAAACGTGAAACAACATTCCGCGCGGGAATCGTCCCGTTGTAATTAAACGTACTGACATTTACACACGGCCCAGTTTTCGCCGTTCTCACCAGGATGTGGAATACACGATTAAAGTTTCAATACAGATGTGACATTGGACGTAGCGCGTGATTAAAGTTTCACGAGGGATTTCACGAGGGCAGATTTCCTTCGTAAATATAGTAATATCCGTAAACCGGATATATATCGAGCGAAGTCGTGACCAGTTGACCCCAACGAGGGGCATATCGTTTTGTACCTGTACGTTATCTTGCGAAAGGAGGTGCATTCAGGTATGGTCTATCGATTTAATACGCGATCGTTAATACGTAACGCGTCCTTACGTCTTTCGCGGTCTTAATGGACTTCGCGGAGCTCTTTTTTTCTTTTCTTCTCCACTCTACGTTTTTTATTCCCAGTCGCTCGGATAATAAATTAAAATGATAAATGCCGGACGCGTCCGCCGCGGAAGAATTTTTACCTCCTCGCTTTTTGCGTCGCGTCGTGCCGCGACGATTTTATCGCCTATTCATACGTGGAGTTGTATACGAGTGAGAGAACTATTCCGAGAAGAATGACCGAATTGATAATTGATGCGTGTGCTCCGTGTGCTAGATACCGTGAATTCTCAGGGAACTGTGTGGGTATTCTAAATGTAAAATTCCGGGTGATATGCGAGCTATGAAATGTTGTGACGCGAGAGGCAAATGGTCCTCCGATTATCCGAATTACCTCCGTTGTACGTAATGACGACGTCGACGACGATAATTTCCTTTTAGGATAATTCGACGAATTCGACGTTTCCTTATATACGTTGCTACTAGACGTGTCATTTTCACGCTGCAGGAATAGATTACATTGTCGTTATTCTCCATCGATCCCCCGCGGCTTTCCCTCGACGAACAGTAAAACCGCTGTCGTCCGGTGACATGCAGGAGCATGTAAGCCGATCGCTCGAATATTTGTACACGTCGTGAATAATGCCTCATTGTCAACCAAAGAACCGCCCCGCCGCACACACCAGCGTGGTGGTACACACTGTCAACTCTGTTGTCGATCGATATCGGTGCAATCGTGCGCAATAATCGTTGCCGTTTACCGTCGATAGATTCCGCGATGAGATTCTTCCGTGTTCCCCCGAGAAATTGCCCCCGGTGGAATATCGTAGCTTTTTTTTCGATAAGCAGTCCGATAAGAAAAAAAAAACATCTCTTGCCATTTAAAACTGCGCATGTGACGATTCACCCTTGTCCATCTGCAGCCCAGCAGATGTTCCGCCACACAGTTCTCATTTCATAAAGATATTTCGACAATGTTTTTTTTTTATTTTAGATCACTTCTTGTATAACAATAAACGCCCGACAATATCAATAATCTCGCGGTCGACATGTCTTGGCAGTTGGACCATTGTCAATTCTCGTCTCCATCGTCGATCTTCGTTTTCGAAGCGACGTTGCTATTCTTAACTGTTAAGCATCATAATGAAAATGGACCACGGGTGCGTGCTACAAATTATCGAGACATTCCCCTCCCGGTTATTTGCGGCGCAGGTGATCTCGAGTAGAAGCGACGGATAATGAGGGAAATGGAGCTATGCATAAATTAATCTCTCTCGATCGTGCATATAAACTAGGCGTCCCATTGACTCTTTTCCAACGATGCTTTCTATATTCTCACCCGTCAATTTATTCGCGCAAACGCAAATGACGTTTTTAATTTTTACCACGTCCTATATCTTTATTATTTATTATTATCGTACTATAATATTATTTCTAGCAACTATATATTTAATCGCCTCCATTTTTTCCGTCTTTTTTTTACATATACCTCTATTTTTAAAATGTCTTGGCTAGGCCCATCTGAGTAACCAGGCCGTTTTTAACGGCTGATCGGCAGGAAGGTTTGCCGATTCATGTCACGGTAATTCACCCGGTAATACCGGGTGCTGAACCGGTTAAGCCTTAGAGAGTAGGAAACGTGACGCCAGCGAAGGCCGCTAATGAGAACGAAGGTCATCACGACTTTTACTTTTTAACGGCATGATCGTCGCTTATCTTCGAGATCTCGCGAGCTAACGATGGCAAACGGTGATCGCGATCGATACGTTCTACACGATTCGTGAATTTACGCGTCGTAAAACTGTTCGCATTGATTATAGGGGAGATAACACTTTACATTTATAAATCGCAACGTCATCCAAAAAAAAGAAGTATCTCGTTTATCTTATCGACTTTTTACACGCCGTGTAATTAACTAATGCGCAGAAAACTCTTTTATGGCATGCGTAGCTTGCTTATATTTTTCGCAATTATTGAAATACACAATTAAAAGCGGAGTGTAATATATATATATATATATATATATATATATATTTAATATTTAATCGATTGTAATTATATTCAAAACATAAAAACAATCTGTAGATTTGTGCTTTAGTATTTTGAAATGTAGGATATTTTCTGCGAGATTATCTACTCGTCAGAAAAAATTAACTGGCGTCGCATAACGAATATTCTTGTGTAATAAATCGCTATACATAATAAATCTTGCGAACATGATGAATGTTGAAATGATCATCGCAATTAAAGATCGCTTCGAGGAAAATGATAGACATTATATTACTCCTCCGTAATTGTGCATAATTAAGATCGTAATCGTACATAACATTTTACAATGTAATTGTAAACAACAAGAAATTGTTCTCTTTGCAGTAACTCGAACAGGCTTGACAGGAAAATTGCGCGGAGATCGGACATACAAAAAAAAAGAAAAATGCAGAACGTATTTGAGGTCGACGATAACGATGTCATTTATAAGGATGTTGTCATCATAGGTGAGTGTACAAGAAGTCTGGAGCGACATTGGAAAACTTAATAGCTCGACAATAAAAGGCATACAAAAATTACGCAACACAGAAAGAAATATATTCTTCTATAAAAATTCCTGCATGTATTTTCTTTTTACATTAAACTCGTATTTTATATTAGACGCAGTTTATATTAAACTCGATTTATTGTAGATTAAAAATGCGAAAATTTTACCTTCATTTCAAAATCGAAACCATGATCTAATCAAATTTTTTAACGTGCATACATAATCGTTATTTGACACTGCTGCGCTAATTGTAACGACCAATGAACTTTTCATCTTATCGTATTTAGCATTAATTTCTCACAAAATTAAAATTTTTATTGTAAGTGCGCATAAAATAAAAAGCTCGTGTGGGACGAGTTAATAAAAATATCTCTGACTCGGCAGTTATTATTCAGAGTTCGTTTGTCGGAAAATTAGAGAATACCCGCACACGTAAAGATTCTCTACATAATCTCTCTGATTCTCAGGAAACGGACCCAGCGGAATATGTCTGTCGTACATGCTCGCCGGAAACTGGCCTTACTACACCGGCGAACCTCATCCCGGCGATGATATGCTGACAGCGCGATTGCGGTTCTGCACGACCGGCAACGAGGAGTGCGGCGACACGTCGGACGACGCCAACACCGACGTGACCACCAACAATCGTCGTCAGTGCTCCAAGTCCGGCGTCGGCAGGACGCAGGGAGGCGGGCTGGCCCGCAGCACGCGGTGCAAACTCGAATGCCTGTCGTCCGGCATCGAGGGCAGGGGCGGCGGCCGGCCGCTGGCTCTTCTCATGGACCAGCTGCAGCATCCGTGCGTCGACGCCGGTCTCGATGTGGCCTCACTTCTCAAGTGGAGCTCCGTCGACGAGCGTCCCGAGCACAGGATCGTGGACCACGTCGTCCTTGGCAAGGGCCAACCCGGCGGTGCCTGGCAGGTGCGTGACGAATATTCGATATTTCCTTCCCCTTTAATCTTGTAAATAATGGGATTCTCTTCCGCGAAATACAAATCGATAGGTAAAAAGTGACGAGAGGAAAAAAATCTTAATAAATTGGAATATCCGATATCTCAATTATTGAAAAATCAAAAATTTTATGTTGGGAATTGATAAGGCTAATTATAAGTATTACTTAACTCTTAACGCAACGTCTATCTTTACGCAGATTGTGAAAAGCTACTCTTTCAATTATTGCTTAGTTTAACGCTTGTTTTTAATATGGTTATCTAGTCTATGGACCCCAATGTACTAACTATCAGTCTGAGCCGATGGATGTCACTTCCCGACTTGGATCTGAGGCATTGGGAGGAACTCGTCGAGGTCGAACAGTTACAGAAGTCGGTTTTAGCCGCGGAGAGCAACGTGTATGCGCGGCTGGAAAAGGCCGTTTGTAAGGCGTCTAGTCGAGTTTCCGTAGGCACCGTCGCCGCTTATTACAAGGACTACATACGCAGGAAAGGCTTGAAACAATACTTCCGATGGTACGTATTTGAAATATCTATTAAACGGACACAAATCCGTTCTTGACATCGCGATGCGGACTTTCACAAAGCAATCATGTGTGTTGCAGCGGGACCACAGTTACTTCAGTAAGACCGAACTCGGATTCGCCCGAGAGCAAGGGAGGATACAATTGGATTGTAGACGGGTATGAAAATAAAAATGGAAAGCGATTTCGGTATCGGTGCAAAAGGGCGGTTCTCGCGACCGGCACGACCGATTTATCGAATCATCTGGATATTGCAGGAGAGAACACGAATCCCACATGGGTGACGCACGATCTCAATGATCTGGAAACTCGATTAGGACGTTTGGTCAGCGAGCATGGTACGTAAATGCAAAATTATATGAAGACCTAATTTAGCGGTTTTTTTTTGGAGAGGTTTGTCTTTTTCTCATATGACTAATTTGTGCATAATCCAAATTTCGGTTTGTTCTCATTCGATTTTCTAGAAGAGGAGGAGAAAAATACGTTACACCATAAAATACGTATCTTTTTTTTCTTTATCGCGGAAAAGCAACACAATAAATTTTGATAGAGTTTCGATTTAACAACACATTTTTTTAACAACCTCTTCTAAATAGGCCGTCCGGAACCGGCGTTAAAACTTTAGGATATTGGAAATGTAACTACCGCAGTAATAAATATTAAATAATAATGCAGGCGCTAGGTTTACCATTAGCTCTAAGAGCATAACAACTAAAAACGTTGTGCTTACAGCATTAGCTATTAGAGCTTAGCTTTAATGATGATTGTTTAATTCTCCAAAATGATAGCTAATTCTAATAGCTTCCTTCTAAGAGCTAATGCTCTAATAGCACAACATTTTAGAGAAGAAATCAGTCGCTCATTAGAGCTAAACTCCAATTGCCAATGCTGTGAAAGCGCTTGGTTCTTAGATATTGTGCTATTAGAGTAAACTGATGGTAAGTAAACATAGTGCCTACATTATTATTTTATAGTATATTCTCAGAAGTAAAGCTCCTAAAACAACATGTTTTAGCAATTTAAAGCACGGCAAAGTGTGTTCCGCTTGCTTTGCCAATAATTTATCATAGAAACAATTTTAATAATATTTTTAATTAATTACATATTAATAATATACTAATAATAAAAGATTAAGTTTATTTTAATTCTGCCGATTTTTTAAAATTTACCTCCTTTTATTATCGTGTATATTATTATCTGATTACTTATTTTTTGTCATTGTTTTACTTGATAAGTACTTCTGTGAACTCAAAGAATTAAAGTTTAGTCTTACTTCATTATTTTTATTCAGATTAGTCACACGATTTCGGAGGTGATATCTCAGATTGCAAATCCATCAATCTCTTTTGTAAATTAGTTTTGACATGCATTGTATTGATGTCAACTTGCGAAAGAGCCCTGTCATTTACATTTAGACTGGCCGTAATATTTTTGGAATACGGCACCAGCTGAAAAGAATCACAAAAATAAGAACATCTTTCTTCTTAATTTAAGTCCGCGTGTGCATATTGAGTTTTTATTATACTCTCTTAAAGTACTTACTCTCTTAAAGTACTTACTCTCTTAAAGTACTTGGCTTCCTGATTTTAGCCTTCCACACTGGAATCCTGGAAAATGTTTATTTTTTAACATTTGTAAGATGTTTAGTTTTTCGAACGTCGAGTAATTGTACGATGCTTTGTGCATACTGAGAAATCTTTGTTTCGGAAGATTTTGATCTAAATAAAATATAAGCTATTAATGCCGTGATAAATATAGCGTGTAAACAAATTATTAATAAAATTTGTGTGTGTGTGTGTGTGTGTGTGTGACGTTAATATGAAATTGATATAATTTGTACATTAATTTTTATTTCTCATTATAGCAACAAAATGTACTTTTTTATAACTAGACTGATTCGCTTAATACATAATCCATTTTCGATTGTTCTCATTCGATTTTGTTACTTGCAGGCAAAGATTCGACGGACGAGCAGATCCCACCCGTGTTGGTAGTCGGAGCTGGTCTGAGCGCGGCCGACGCGATTATGGCCGCGCGCTTCCGAGGCATACCCGTGCTGCACGCATTCCGCAATTCGCTGAACGAGTTGGGCAAGCAAACCGCCGAGAGGATAACTACTAGCTACGATCGATTGCAATGGCTGCCGGATTCCATATATCCGGAGTACCATAAAGTATACGAGATGATGGCTGACGGAGGTACAAATTATCCTCTGTACAAGTCATTGCCGGGATACACGCTCGTCAGTCTCTGTGAGAATCGCGAGAATGGAAGCACGAGCGCGAGGAGCAGGACAGCCACCCTCTCCGCTCCGGACGGTCAGCTGCACACGTTTGAAGTATCCATCGCGGCTATTCTCATCGGTAAGCGCAATACATACCTCTTAACAATAGCTCAAACTGATAAAACTCATAAATTGGATAAGATTGCAGATATTGACCTCAGTATTGAGACGTTGAGTTATCCAATTCGTCGACGTTATTGCATCGAATAATTTATTTCAGGATACAAACCAGATCTGTCGTACTTAGAAGGCGGCGGCGCGGGATTGGGCAAATCCGCGGACAAGCCGATCGATAGCAAATCGAATCCCATTGAAATCGACGATTTCACGTATGAGGTGATCAACGCGCCGATGAAGGGACTCTATGCATTAGGACCTCTAGTCGGTAACAACTTCGTTCGCTTCGTTCTGGGCGGTGCGCTTGGAATTCTGGCGCACATTCTCTGCACCACAAACACCTGAGAGATCTGACAGCCACTCGTGCGACTCGATCGTATTTTAGCAAAATTTATTTTATATATACATAGACACATCGACAAAATGGCAAATCGTGTGACTTCTGCTCAATTCGTGTGAGTGTTGAATGAACTACATCGCTTAGTTCTTAACATTTATATATCCGCGCGCGATCGCTCGGCAAATCCGTTTGTACATACTATTAAAATTATTTTTGTATTCTTTCCATACTACCCTTCGCGAGGAAACGACCGACTTTTTAAATGTACATAACTATTCCGTCGAGATATCTCCTAGGGTGAGAGGTAAAGGGCGAAGAGATCGTTTACAACGTTTACTCAGCGAGTAGTGACTTATAACGTGCGGAAAAAAGATGACAGTTCAAATGTCTTACTTTAGACCTATTTTATAGATCTGTTCGCGCTTCTTGATCCATTCCATTTGATAAGGAAATTGTGTAAGGGGGATGGTGATGTTAATGACTTGCATCTAAATTCGACAATTTCGTCGAATTTAGATGCAACAAAGTTGTTGACATGTTTGTTCATGACTATACATTACAGATCTCTCCACAAATACATCCTCATTATATTCTACACCTCGTAGAGTGTACAGTTAATAACATAACTGTTGGAGTCTGTATTGTAAAACGAGTTTCGCAAAGAAAAACGAGTAATACAACGAAACTCTTGATATAAATACTGATAGTGTGTACGTACTTAGGATTAATCTGTGTTTGCCTTTTAATGATTAAATATAAGTTGAATGCTTTTTTTTATGCACATTTATCTACACACGGTTTATACATAGAAGCTTTTATGATTTTTATTTTTATGAGATTAGGTTAGGTTATATTTAATGTATTCTTAGAACGGCCGGACAATTGTGCTTATTCAGACGCACAAGCATTTTTACATCGCATATTTTTATCTCCTGGCAATTTGCAAATGAAAACACATTTTACAAAGTGAGTCGGGTACATCTTAATTATTTTTACGTAGGTGACATCTTCAATCCGCCGTGTAATATGCCTTTCTCTTATTAATAAGCTGTGATTACTTTAGTGAAATAGACTAGCGCTCTGTTATTAGCGTAAGCTACACGTACATAATACTACCTTTTTAGTACAAAAACGTTTCCACGTTTACATATATTATTACTTAACAGTCTTTATCTACACTTAATTTATAATACACTGCATCTTATTGTTTATATTTTACCGGTTTTATTTATGATATGCGGTAATTATATACAATTACACGTTAATTAAGTTTTTATTCAATTTAAAGATAGATAAAAAAAAGAGAAATATACTTTTCATAATTTTATTATATTTTATAATTTTCATAATTATTTTTATAATGTTTGCATGATGACTAGCAAGAAATGTTTCTTTTGTTATGTTCAACGTGCGTATGTAAACTTATAATATTAATGCGTGCTGTAACAGTAAGCCTAAAATGTATTTAATATAACGTTATAACAAGTTTGATATTAGCGAGATACTGTAGCATATATAAGAGACGAAGTGAGGATTGAAATCGTATCGTTTTTAGCATAGTAACATGTGGTTTTTAGAAGTTTTATTGATACGAAAGTTGATATATTAATATTAGCTGAATGACGACAGGGATACGTATGGATACAAGAATACTTAATACGAAAGAATATTTAATACGCAATCTGTGATAGGAAAATGCAATGTTCAAGAAGATGTGCAATGAAATAGAAGAGACTTACGTGAATAAATCTTGAGCACATTATATTTGGTAGATACGTATTTTTACATGCAGAATGAGGACCGATTTATATAAGAAGTAGTAAATTTATGATTTTATTTAAACCAAAAATGAGGAAGAAATCGCTATCCGTCTCTCTCTTGATGAGATAGCGGATAATCCCATTTGTCACAAAGAGCTCCCCCTAGTAAATTTTAAAGCGTTAAGAAAGAATTTTAATTGTTGTTTTATGAAAAAGTTGTTTCTGAAAAAAAAAACAATATCTTATATAGATTATTCTGTACTGTGTATGTGTACGCAAAAAAAAGTGGTTCGCAAGACTTAAATCAGTCATCATTTTATTCTGGAATGATCATTTAACAATTGGATGTACAGAACAGTTTACAATACAGATATAAAAAGTAAAACAGCATTGTTTTTCACTTTTATCGTTACGATATTACACATAAATAAAAATAATTTATAATTTATAGCTATACAAAAATATACAGTTAAGTGAGATAAATAAATTATTCTATTATAAATCTGTTATCTTTGTGATCACTCTTGCTATACATTATAAGAATTAAAATACAGCGGCATCGTCTAAATAAAATTGCAGGTATCATGAGGATTACGATATTACGGGGATTGTTTTAAAAGTAATTTATACAGAGCAAGATTAACATTGATTAAAAAGATTAATGCCACATTCATAGTTGATTATTTCTATCATATTAATCCACGAACAGATGGGCCGAACAGACATTTCGTCATAATCTTTTACGAATACATTGTTCCTTCCTTGACAATAACACTTGAGAAAAACTGCACGTACTATTTTAAAAAATAGCTTTCCATCCATTTATATACAACAAACTCTATAAAGATGTTTCATTTTATGGAACACGGTGATAAATACCAACAAGTATTAGAAAAAGAAAAATATATATATATCAATATTTTCACGTTAATTTTTATTCTAATTATAGTTGGTTCTACGTCTTAAATATGACGAACAAGAAGCTAAGTAATATAATAGCAGCCGCGAGTACCACGATGCAATACAGCTTTTTATTGGCCTTCTGATACGAGTCGGCTTTCTTCAATTGTTTGTAGCCCTCTTGTACTTGTACTTGCGTTTGCTCGATGTTGTAATCGATCCGATCTAAAATAGTACCCTGATCCTGTACCATCACTGCGAGATCCTGCGCATAATAAAAGTCCAGATTTTTATTCAAGCCTTTATCACGTTGTTACTAATATAAATGCGGCAAAACAAATATTAAAACAAATTTGAATTTCCCAAATTGAAGAGAATTTTATTTGCTGCATTATAATTATATATGGTAAGTATTGGTAATAATTTATATATGTTACATATAATTTACCTTAAAAATATGTTTTAAGTCTGCTATACTTTGAACTATACTTCCAATCTGCTCCTCCCTTTCCACTGCTAACTTCATCCTATCTTCAGGCTCCTCCAACTGCAATAAAACCGAGTCCTGCCTTTGTTCATTTCTTTGCCAATAATCGCCAGCTGCCTCGTTCGATTCTGTCAGCCAGGAATCGGTTGCTACATTATTTAAAAGAGACTGGTCTTCTGCGAAGAACTGGTTATTCCTCTCCTCTCTCGATTGCACCTCTGCAAAGATTTATAAGATATTCGAATATAATACAAATAATGCGTGCTGTAGTATAAAAATATCAATAATTATTTATTTTTATTAAATCGTATGGAAGACATACGTGTCAAATAATGATTCTGCGCAGCTCTATATCGAAGACCCAACTCCTGTAAGGCAGTCGAATGGGCCATCACCGCACTGGTGGCTAACCGACGCTCCGCAAGCTTAGTTTCGTGCCTGCCAGCTGACTTAATTGTTTGTACTTGTCTGTAGCCACTGGAGAACAAACGTCCGATCTCTCGCGTCAGTTGCTCCATTTGTCTCTCCTCCTGTACGCAACAGTGATACAATAATACAAAATATAATTCAAATCTTGGCATTACAATTGCTACGAAATGTAAAAATTTTACATTGGTCAAAGCGTTCTTGTCTTACGAGACAAGCGACAGAACGATTAATCTGAATGTAGTTACCCTTAAGGGCAGAATTTACAGAGCTTGCGAACCTGAGATGTATCGTCCAGGGTGGGCCTGGTGAGCTGCTTCGAGTGCAGCTCGACCAGGCTGTCTATCTTCACCCGTAATCTGCTCAGGATGTACTGCGTTTCTTCCAAGGCGTCCGCCCAGGAGGGCGGCGCATCACTGTCCACGTTAACACCCTTCAGTTCGACATTGTCGGACTCGCTCGAGTCCGAGTGCACAAGCGCCACACGATCGGTAAGATTCTGAAAGAGAGGCGCGTATTAATATTACAGAACAAAGACGAAAACGGCAGGTACTTCACGTTGGAGACAGAGGTTAAGTGCGCGCACCTGTTCGGCGTAAATGTGTCTGCTCTGCAAAGCGTTGTTTCGCATTAAAACGAAGGGCTCGGTTAAGTTTCTCGTGGCCATTTTCCAGCTGTTATCTCTCCTTATCACTACGGGATACACCTCATAATCATTCTACCCATGAACCGCGCTGCGTTACGCACCGCACACCCGAATCAGCTGTCATCTTGAAACAGCTGATCACCAAGCCTGCCCCCTCTCGCCACACTTTGTACAGTATGTATTCATAAGGGTTATAATTTATAAAGTTATTTTTATTATTGATGCGAGTTTTAGAAAGCAAACTTGTAGCTCAGCAGTTTATGCAACTCTCAGATTGTAATTTTGTTTACAATATTAGATAAAGATGGAGTTTTTACGATTTAAAAATACCTAGAGTTATTATTTAAACTATCCCTTATTTACTTGTATTTTGCTTATTATTTTCTTTTAATTTTTTAAAGTTTAAATTTTTAACAATTTACGCAAGTTATCTTATTTGATTACATTATCCTCCCGACATTTTCGTCGATTTTGGAGATTTTAAATGTCTGAGGTTTTATAAGATCTTAGAATTAAAATTTCGAGAATCAACTCTCTCGGTGTCTTGATTCTCAGAATTTTAATTAGTGCAACTTTCTACAGTCATTAATTCCACATACAAATGTTACGATATTAACAAAATTTTATTTAACAATTTGAAAAGCATTTACATTATCTAATATACCAACGCATGTATAAGTACAAAAATACTTCAAAATGTACATATAAATGAAATATCTTTTGCTACAGGAATTGCTGAATTTGTATCAATATAAGAAGAATTGATCAAATAATTAAAGTTTCAAATTGTTTTTGGTAGATTCAGTAATTATACTCTCCCTAACTTGTCGAGTCTGCCTCATGATATTAAAATTAAATGGTACAGATGCAATATTAAATAAAAAATAACTGCAATTGTATTCTCTATTTTATTGTAGAGTGCAGTTTGCTTTTGGTTTCAATCACTAAGGGCCTAGTGCTGTAGAGATTGCCCAGTATGGCCTGCTTCTTGATCATCGACAGTGCCTCCTGTCCTTTTCCGTAACATTGTCTAACCTTTTCCTCATCTTCTAACGCTTTGTTCTCTTTGAACTCGTGCCGTACTTTTCGCAGAGCATACATTCTGAAAAGTACCAAACAATTATTTCTTGCACACACCTTCTGTCACCATGTGAATGTCACGTGAGCAATTAAATGATTCAGATTATAATTATTTGATTTATTTGTATAATAGAAAAGACTACATTTCCAATTAAATATATGTAGAAAAAATCGCATTAATATATTGAAAATTCTTGGGAACGAAATACCGAGTGTATCTCTTAAAAAAAAAATATATATATATATATATATATATATATATATATATAATATAAGAAAAAGAAATAGATGACACTAAGATGTTCGATCTTTAATATAAAGATTGTTGTAATAATATTACATTACCTGTAATTGTACGAGCTCCATTTTTTGCTTTCCCGGATTAAATTCCGATAAAGGCTCAGAATCGCGTCTCGACTAAGGCTCATTGTTTATTAAAACTAAGGATCCACTACAATTTAAGCGGAGCTAAATCCAACTCGACTGTGCTCTGCCGCAGCACATGGTTATTGGTTATGTTATGTGTATCAAATGATTTGATCAGTTTGGTGCACCTTGTGATGTCTAGTAAGATTATTTGTTGATTCTGTGTATACAAATGGACTTATGCGAACTTTTATTTATTAAATTATAATGGTAACATCACTGGTATTTATTATAAATTGTACTCGGTGTCTGTCATCAATTATATTCTGAGAAAAAAATTGATGTTTTGTTACATAACCTCCGGTGGTCTGTTTGTAACCTTTTTTTTGGAGCTGTATTAATAATTTTCATGAATTAAAAACATGAATTCTTTATTTTTAGAAGAACAATAAATAGAAGTTGGGCAGTTTTATCTTTTTACATTACAATACATTTCAAGATAGTATTTTTTATGTAGCGTAAATAAATGAATATGCAAAATTTATATGTAAAATTAATAAAAATCTACTTTTTACAGTTTATGCAAGATGCACAGATGTTTGAAGATTCGTACTGAGACAATTTTGAGATCAATGTGAACCAATATTCGTAGCGCATCTTGTTGCAAATAAGAGAAATTCAATTAAAATTGTATAATGTGGTATGCAACGTCAGAGCATATTTTATTCATTTTCAACAGGATAAGTGACGTCAATCTTGTTTAAAGTATACTTTTCACAGGTGCATCACGTATCGCCTCTGCAAGGAAACGTGGATAAACAATGTTAAAACAGCCTGTAGGACAGCTTCGGTGGCTGCCAATGTTAACAAGAGCAACGAGCTGGTGCTGTTGGGTCAGAAATACGCGACGGACGACTGGACGAATGTCACGCCAAACGTCATCGCCAAATTGGGGAGGAACCTGCACGTACAGCAGTACCATCCGCTCTCGCACCTACGCCAGCGTATCGTGAATTACTTTTACGGACAGTTCCGCAGTAAAAGCGGGACGCCGTCGTTCAGTATCTACGACAATATATGCCCCGTGGTCACGGTCGAGCAAAACTTCGATTCCCTCCTCGTGCCGAAGGATCACCCGAGCAGAAAGAAGACCGATTGTTATTTCGTGAATCAGGACACGTTGCTGCGAGCGCACACCACCGCGCATCAGGCCGAGCTGATCTCGATGGGATTGAACAATTTTCTCGTCGTCGGGGACGTGTACCGACGTGACGAAATCGACAGCACCCACTACCCGATTTTCCACCAGGTCGACGCGGTCAGATTACGCACGTCGCAGGAGATATTTCGCGACGTGAACGATTCCGAGAACCTCCAGTTGTTCGAGCACAGAGGGACAGAGAGCGCCGAGAAGCAGGCTTGTCACAGTCTGGAGGCGGTGAAGGTGATGGAGCAGGAATTGAAGAGCACCCTGACTAGTCTAGCGCGAGCTATCTTTGGGGAAGGTATTGGTCTCCTTATTTAATTTATTTCTAATTTTAAGCGCGTATTTTACTTCCAAACGCAACCAACTCCATCGCAGCCCTTTTTTTTCTTCACTGGAATGACTCGAAATTAATTCGAATATACTTCTTGCCAATAGACGTGCAATGTCGATGGGTCGACCAGTATTTCCCGTTCACTCATCCGTCGTGGGAGCTAGAAATATTGCACAACGACAAGTGGCTCGAGATAGTGGGCTGCGGCATTATGCGCCAGGAGATTCTACAGAAATCCGGTGCCGTGGATCGGATCGGATGGGCGTTCGGCCTCGGCCTGGAGCGTCTGGCCATGCGACTGTATGACATCCCGGACATAAGATTATTCTGGAGCAACGACGCCGGCTTCCTGAATCAATTCAAAGTGGACGATCCTAATGCTCGTATCCTGTACCAGGTGAGATAAACCTGCAAGAATTACTCTCGAATATTATACGTCTCATCGTATCTCTCTGTACACTTTGTTAATTTGGTTGAAATTTACATGGAATTTTTACACAGAGACAAAGAAAATATGCCGATTTAGTTCGCAAAAATTACAGTTTTATTTCTGATACTCAAATTCTATACCTTAGTCGTATTAATTCTCTAGCCATTTTTCTTTTCAAGTAAAATGTAACTTTTTAGCCCGTCAGTATATATCCAGTTTGTACCAACGACATGAGTTTCTGGTTGCCGGAAGACGGAAGTTATTCCTCTCACGACTTCTACGATATAGTTAGAGAGATAGGCGGCGATTTCATTGAACAGATTATATTGAAGGACGAATTCACGCATCCGAAGACTAAGAAAACGTCTCATTGCTATGGCATAATGTACAGACACATGGAGCGCACGTTGACCAAGAGGGAGGTCAATAAAATCCATGCTCAAATAGGAAGAACGGTATCCACTAAACTTAATGTAATTATGCGATAAAGTTGAAAAATAAAATGTTTTCCTAACGAAAAAAATTGGGACTTTTATGTGCAAGCCCTGTAAGACAACTCGATAAAATACACGCGTGTGAGTATCGTATGAATAATGCAAGTATCACAGGAAAAGGAATATATTATTTTATTTGCGAATAAATTAATTATAAACGTATTACATAGTAAATAATAGTCCTCTAGCAACAACTACATTACTTGTGGTACGTTTCACATTAGAGATAACAACGATTACAGTTATGTTCTACATGCTTGCAATATGTACATGAATATAAAACATTATGTAATCTAATATTATATTATTTATATATGTGCTGATAATATAAATGATAACAAAAGGTATGCTCTGTATATAGAAATATTTTTAAGAGATACAATTTAAAAAAAAAAAAGAACATTTTGAACAGTTTTAGAATAAAGCTCCTTATATAATATCAGTGCAAAAAATGCCGGTTTAGTTCGCAATAATCACAGTTTTATTTCTGATACTCAAATCCTATATCTTAGTCGTATTAATTCTCTAGCCATTTTTCTTTTTAAGTAAAATGCATTTAGTTATTGTTATACAAATAAAGATTACTTATATTTCCATCCATGCGGATGCTTGATTTTTAGATACATGAGAAATACTGTTGTGCTCGATTAGAGAACATATCTAATTAATATTAAAAAAAAATGAACGCTATATAGAGATGGGATATATAAATGTCGCGATGTGTGCGTATAAACACACTGACAATGGAAGATGCGACCTTTGGCAATGCATTCAGAAATAAATTAATATACAAACAAAAGAAATATAAAGAAAATCAAGTATAAAAAAAGTCATGTCTTTAATCTAAAGCCAAGATACGTAGTAGATAAGCTTGCAGGAAGAATTAACATTATGCGGCGAGTCGTGAATGTTGTTCCGCTTGTAACGTTTAATCCAATCCATTTTTTTTTTAAGTCAGTGTGCAGATATGATACGAGAGATTTGGAAACTTTGTCGGTTTTCGTTCTTTGCGGTATTATTTTCTGCCACATTAGTCTTCGTTAGGAACTAATGTTGTAAAAATTGATTGTTACAAAAATAGTCGGTTGTTAGAAAAACGGTGCATATAATCTTTTTTATTTCATAAAAAATAATATTAATTGGATTGGATTAAGAATTATTGTAGAATGAAAGAAAATTTTTATACAGCTCTTTGTATGTCGTTAATAAGTGTTTACGATGTTTGATGTTTTATCCTCCTTTGTCATCTGTACGCGGACAAATCAATTATTCGCATAAGATTTTAGGATAATTTGGTGTAACTGGGAGGTGAAAATTTCTTCCTCAAGAATTTCAGGATGTACAGCGGCATGCACGAGACCAACGTTATCACCAATACCTTCCATAAGAAGTCCGTGGTTTTAATAAATTCAGCATCTATATTAACATAACAATAGAAATTAATATTAATATTAAGGAATGTGAATTTTTGTTTAATTATCTCTTAAATGCTGTAAACTCACCGAAGTAATCCTTCAGGACGACCAACGATAATAAATAGAGCGCTAGAGAGAAGATTTCTGCGAGCATCATTATGTGATGCCAGGTTCTAATTGTTAAAGCAACCATTATTAATTCTGTCAAAACTAGCGCTGAAAAACTTATGGCCACTATATGAATGAATTCGTCCTCGAACATTATAAGTGCGCCATACATGATGACTCCTCCTGAAATATTAAAGTCGCAAAAGATGTATCTTTTTTTCTTTCTGTATATATTGCAAACTGCACGTATATTATTGTATCTAGATTTAATTTAAAAACTGTACGTACCTTGATATATACTTATTAAAACCCACATAAAAAATGTTTTGTATGATAACGAGCGGCCTTTACTCAGGTCTTTATAAAGTTCTGGATAAGTAAGTGCTATCTTTCCCGATACATCCTTGTCTAATACCAATGAAAAGACGGGAAACATTGTGTATATCGTAGCGTATCTAAAAATTTTTATATACATGATAAAGTTTAGTACATTAAGACACGTAAGAAATTTTGTCAATTTTTTAATAAGTATATTTGAGCTACTTACCCTACCATAAGAAAACCTTGATATAAGGCAACCGAAGACAAATAAAAGACTGCAGAGAACACAGCCTGCATAGTCGAGATGATCAAACCACGATGTATAACGAATTGACTCAATGCAGCCGATCGTTTATAGCTTCTCCTACCGTGGACCAATAGTAAATTAGCGAGATGGCTGAACTGAGAAATTGAAAAATCAGCAGCTAGCGACGCCTGCCTTCCCTCAAGACCCTCGAGACCAATTCCTGTAAGAAGATATAAACCGTTATAACAAAAAAAGTGTCTGGCGAGATATAATTAAATAATTTAAAACAAAGATTAAACAAATACCAGCGTCTGCGGCTTGTATCATGGAGACGTCGTTACCGCCATCGCCGACGGCCGCCGTTCTCTTGCCGGTGTGCCTCTGTATGAGACTGACGACTTCGGCCTTCTGCGTGGGAGAGCATCGGCAGCAAACGACGGCGGGCGAGCCGCAAGCGAGTTCCAGAAATTCCTGCTCGTAATACTGTAAGCACACCTCGAGGGAATCGCCGCTGATAACTAAGGCACAATCTTGCTTCTTGCGAAACGTATTCAGTTCCAAGTGAGCGTCGGTGCGCGTCACGACGGACTTGAAGACGTGCAGGCCCTGGGAGCGCGACACGAGACGCGAGGACTTCGCTATGCAAGTCGCGGTCTCCAACTTGTCGCCGGTCAACATCCATATCTTGATTCCGGCGTTCCGCAAGACTTCCAGCGTAGGCCTCACCCTGTCCTGCAACCTGTCCTCGACGCCGGTCACGCACAACAGTTCCATTTCTCTCTCGAGACTTTCCACCACCGCGGCGACCTTCGACACGCGATCGCTGACGCTCATTCTCGCCGCGTTGTATCTGTATAAAACATACAACATAAATCATATATTTTTATTCAGCCGTACATATTTTATATTGAGCGCAAGACTTTTGATGACACGTTACCTCGCTTCGAAATCGAGGTACTGGTCTTCGGTAAGATTTTTCTTTGCCACGACCAACGTTCTGAAACCTTCGCGTGCCATATTCTCGCACACCTCATCCAGCCAATCATTATACTGCACAATGCCGGACATCACAACGTCGGCACCTTTCAAATAGAATATGATCTCGGAGCTGGACTCCTCCCTCACGATTATCCCCATTCGCTTGGTTTCCGACGTGAACGGGAATATTTGCAGTATAGTGTAATTCAATATTTGACCGTTCAGAGTCTTCAGCTGCATGGAATTTAGATCTCGCTTGACGAGAGCCAATCCCATTTCCTCCGTCCATTTCACCAGAGCCACTTCGTCCGGGCTCGAGGCTTGGTAATTGCGCTTCTGTTCCGGCAGATAGTAGTGTTGATCCGCCTCTGTTTGACTGAAATAAAATGTTTAAAATTTCAATAATTATAATATTAAGGACATCTCAGTTTTCGTGATCGTGATTAATGAGAAATTATTACCTCTGGATGGAGCCTGTATCTCCGGTTTCCACGGTCTCCACGCTCACCGAGTCCAGATTCGAGGATTTGTTCACCTCGTCGTACACCGGGGTCACGTTGTGGCACAGAGCTAGAGCGTGCACGGCGTCGTAGATCCGGGTGTTCTCGGATCTTCGGACCTTGCCGCTGTGCGCGGACGTCGTCGGCTTCATCGGCGAGTGCTCCGTGTCGGCCGGGTAATAAGTCTTTAACACCGACGTCACTTCATCGAACGTCTCCTGGCCGTAGGATATGGTGCCCAGATGCAACTTCTTGAACACCATCTTATTCTGCGTCAACGTGCCGGTCTTGTCGCTCAGCAAGTACGATATACGTCCGAGCTCTTCCGGAATGGTGGTCGTCCGCACGACCGTGCCGGCGATATCCTTATCCCTTTGTATGCACCAAGCGTAAAACGCTTTGCCCATGTCCAGATTCACTCGCAAGCTGATCGGTATGATGTAGGAGAACAGCAGGACGAAGCGGAACATGTAACGATACCACGGTCCACTGAATCCCTTCAAGCACATCATTACAAGCGCGAGTCCGATTACCGCGCCAAATAATACCTGTCGAAATACAGTGGAATATAGAATCATTTCATCGTTATGCATACCACATATCCTGACGCATAATTTCTACGTGCGTAATACCTTTGTCAACTGATTGATCTCTTGATCGAGCAAACCGACTTTCGATCGGATTTCTGAATGATTCATTAGAGACCGCGTTTCCTGGCCGGTGTAAACGACGATACCAAGGGCGGATCCAGACGTCACTGCCGTGTTGGCCCACAATGTGTTGTCCACGCCCAAGCTCTCTTCACTGCTGTATCCGTCGTACTGGAAATAAAGAATTACATAAAGAAAATCGGAAGAGCCTAAAGCAAAGCGAAGGAAATTAAATTTCTTACCCTTGAAAAGGTGCCAATGAAGCTATGTATATCCTTCTGTGGCTTCTCGACGTACAAACTGGCTTTAATATCAAACAACTGAGAATTGCTGTCCAACTTTTGCGTTGCAGGCACTGCTAATCTTAATTTCCAATCCGTCTCACCGTCCAGCTGATCGGTCCGCACGAAACACGCGCCAGATTTCTCGGTTGTGCGTAATAATACTAAATCAGCTGGTACTCTCTGGCCCTTCTCTACTATAACCTGATTGCCGAGAGAAAAGCGCGAACGTTAACTTAGATATCCAAACTTTCTTTCATAAGAGAAAATTACAATGAAAATAATTGTAACACTATTGAACAGAGACGCTGTAATGTGACTTACCAAGTCGCCCACGCGTAGTTTGGAACTCGGTACTAATTCTGGCGTATCAAAACCTTTCACTAGTCTATAATATTTTTGTGCATTGACCTCCTTGTCCCTCTTGTACCTTCTAAAGTCATCGACGGCTTCGCGGAAAATCGTCACGGTTAAAACAAAGCACAATGGCCCCCAGTACGTGTACAAGTATCCTATTCTTATGTCTGGTATAAATTGAGATATAGCCATAAGCAGAAAGTATAAATTCAAGAAGAATTTGAACTGCTGAAAGAGGACCTGCGAAACGAGGGCAAGTATTACAAAACACACCGTTTCAAGCTACCTGAAGAGATTTGCGAGATCATATCTCTGTCAGAGAAGAAGCGTACCAAAGGCAAGAAAGTAACAACGTTGTATTTTTGATTTCTTATAACATTAGTGGGAAACTTCTCGTGCATAGGCTGCCCAATGTGGATAACTCTAGCTCTCAATTCCCGCTCTCTGCAGCATCTCCGCCACATCCAAGTACAGCATCTGTAATCGCAAGAAACAATCCCGACTTGACGAAAATGCGCGCAAAACTGGCATTTCTTATCTCAACGCTCGCCAAAATATCGCCTACGAAATACGCCTATGATGTACAGCATTAAGTCTTAATTCATCGACATTCGCAGCGCTACTAATGGTGACTAATGGTTCGCATACTAATTTCGCACATGAAAATGAAATTTTAATCGTTAAAAAATTTAGACATAAACAAAGTGCGCAGCATTATCGTCCAACGCCTCCGACCTGCATTCGCGCATAAACATAGATGTCTACTGTCAAATGGCGTCGGGACAGCTGATCGACGACTCGCAGTCGCGAGGAAATTCTGGCAGGGCGGGAAATTCTCGCGTGTCAAAGAACGCGTCGAGATCGAGGTCTAAGTCGGTCGCGACGTGAAATATATACGTCACCTCGACCAGGAGCTGTCATTCCGCGGTTTCGATATCAGGGGAATGTCCTCCTTGGACATTCTTATAACGTTGCTCTGCGTCTCCATTTCGGGCTGCTTTCTCCGCGTTTCAGACGGCGGTTTCTTCACGCCAGGGAAAACTGATTCACCTCGAACAACCTTTCTTTCGCGGAAACACACTACCCGACAAGCGTATCATCAATCTATCGGTCACTATCAGTGGACTTAGGATACACCAGTATTATGACATCACGTCGCGGCCGTGAAACGCACGGTTCTCGCAAGATGCACCCGTTGCGAGAAACAAGAGTTCGATCAGCGTTGGTTCTCCACCTCGCGATTGGTCGAGTCCGGTCGATATAACAGTCCCGAGCCAATAATCTGTCGTGTAAAAGCCTCCCTTTGAACGTCACAAGCTACTCTCTCGACGTAATCGAAACAATTTGAAACATGTATTAATCACCGGAAAGATCAATTTCTTTTTCAGATATTTTTATAAAAATCTTTTGGGGAAATTATCGAACTGCTAAAATTTAAATTTAATAAACATTATATATTATCGGACTCATTAAGTACATAATATGTATTATTTTAGTTAGAAAAAGTTATCATAAAAAGAGAGACTATAGGCTATTAAAAAAAATTTCATTCACAAGATGACGGCACAAAATAATGATAATTAATTCAATTAAATTTCTGTAGAAAAAAAACCAACTTCTAATACATTTAACAATGTTAACGATATATTACTTTCTTCAATTTGCAACGGAAACAATTATAGACCAGATAAAAAAAAATGGCAATATTAATTCACGTTGATCACTTTTTACAGAAATTTAATTAAGGAAATAATTATCATTATTGCTTTGACAAGAATTTCTTGCGCTTTCACACGTATAATACGCGTGCACAATAATTAAAGCATTAATTTCATAATTCATTGAGAACCGAGCAATGCCGTTCTACGTGTTTGCAGAGTATCGCTTGAATAATAAAACAGGGCAGTTCAAACAGGGTCGAACACTATTTCGAGCGCGTGTAACGCATTCGATCGGGCCGCATTAGCATTTCTCGCGCGCGAGATTGAGATCCGCCGTGAGATTTACATTATAAAACTAGATCCTACATCGTATTGTCGTATAAAGATCTCTACATATACATCGTTCTCGAGTCAGCCCTTAGCTGAAAACAGAATAAATCCCCTCGCCTCTTTTCTCAGTCGAGCAACAGAGAGGCCGACTGATTTTGTGCGCGACGCAGAAATAAATGATGATGTTTGTGATCGATAAATATAAGAGAAACAGAGACACCTAAGAAGATACCGCGTCCTTTCTGCAGCTCCTATATTGTGTTACACATCGTTTATCGCGGACTGAACTCTCACGTTCGTTCTTTCTGCCTTTGCGTCTTTACTCTTATACGCGTTTGGACTCGGCAAAAAAAGCTGGCGAGAGAAGATATATATTTATCGCGAAGATAAAAGCAGAGGCACAACGAACTGCGCCCACGTTCTCCTCAAGCTTATAAGAACTCAACATGTTGGATAAATCGATCAAATCGTCGCGACGAATTTTTTCACCGTGCAGGCGGAGTATCGATTTGCTGCTAAATTTGCTCGAAAAATACATTTTACCGTCTTGTCCTCCTGTTGATTCGCCGCATCGTCTCGGTACACCGGCCTATTTGTCGATAATCACCGTCGTCGTTATACTTTGTCTCGTACACTTTCACGATCTCCTCGCTACCGTCCTCGCCCACCTGACTTCGCACCGTGTACCGTGTCAAAAATACGTCTCTCTCCATCGATTCCGTTCGAGTCTCCGCGGAGCCGGTTAACACTCGTCGTATATATGCATATTGCTATATACACACACGTCGCTTTATTTATACGACGTTATTTTAACGCACTGCCGATAATCTACCGAGAACTCGTTAGGACAGTCGTTATTCTCTTGCCGAACAAATATAAGCACCGGACAAATAAAAAAACGTGCAGCTTTTACGAGTTACATTTTCGCGTTTCGCGTACGATTAAATGATATCGCGGGAGACTGCAACATTATCGATCAATAATCTAATTCCACGTAATTCGATAATTATATTGATTTCTCGTTAGAAACCCTCAAATGCTAGGTCAACACGATCGTCAACACGATTGCCGCCGTGTTCGCGCGCATTAATTAGTATATTGAGACATCCCGAATCTTCTGTAAACATTGGGCTATATTCGGTCGTACAGAGCGCCCTAAATTATGAATACTATATTTTAGTGACGGATCCTAATTCCTACACAAAGAGAATTTCCCTTTAAAATTTATCTTAAAAATCATGTTAATCGTGGGACAACGTAAGTACAATATTTCGGCAAATTTTATATGATTTTCTCTGTTTTTTTTTTATTGTGCACACTACAATAAATTTGGTGTAGAACATATTTAAAAAAGAAAATCACATAAAATTTGTCGAAATACTACGATTAACATGATCTTCAGGGTAAATTTTAAAATAAAATTCTCTACGTGTACGTTCTCATTTTACGATTTTTTTCTTGACCAATAAAATATTCCATTTTAAACGTCGAGAGCCAATTAAGTACATATGCACGGATTAAAATTGAATTAAGCGTGACTCATTCGCATCCGCAAAGCTAACAACACGCGAGGGACCTTCTAGTTTTCTCAAAAATTATTGTAAACAAATTTAAAAAAGATTACCATAAATAACACTAATTTTTCAAATAAATTACAATATATACAATCAATTGTATAATTTATAATCGTGGATAAATAAAAAAATACACACGATTGCACAATTAGATTACTTAATGCACAAGACTTATTAAACAATTGTCGTGCGAAATGAAAAAGAAATATTTCTAACTTCTGAGACAGGTAAAAACTACTAGATTTTCAGGGTCGTTCTCGTAATCTAGGCGATAAGAAAAAAGGCGATAAGAACGACGAGATTCTGCAATCGTAATCGCGACAACTTAGACAAGAATTCGACACGGCGCGGCGTGTCGTCAGGTCGTTCCGAAACACCCTGTACAGACTCACCCGCAGAGGCAGCTCTTCAGGTACTTGGAGCAATCGGCGATGCGCCGTCGCCTCGACGTCAGCTGCCTGATGCTGTCCTCGGACGGCTGCAGCAGGTAGTCAGTCTCGTCGTCGTCCATTTCAAAGTCCCGCTCGTCGGAGCTCAGCCGCAACGGCATCTCCTCCAGCCTCATGGCGGAGGCGTCGAGGCGGCGGCGCGCTCTTTCGTTCCCCGTTTTATTTATTTTTATTTTTTCTACTCCCCTTAACCTTTACTCCCCCTTTTTTTTCGCGCGACCGTACGTCCCGGCGCCCCCCGTTTCACGGCTCTCACCCTCGCGGCGACGGCGGGAGACGCGTGACGACGCGGCTGACTGATGACGCGCTGCTGCAGCGGGTTAATCGTCGTCGTCTCGCGCGACCGATCGCCGCGGCGCGACGTCCGCGGCGCATATTATCTTATCGCGGGCGATCCGGCCGGCTGATCTCGCGATTTCGGGCAGCAGTCGTCGCAGCGCCCGGCGATGTCTGTCGTCCACCGTCTGAGTGTTTCGGACTGATGCGACCGGGTCCTCCGCAGCGGCGGCGGCGACGACGACGAGCACGACGACGGCGCGCGACGAGACGTCGCTTGTTTACGTACACACACGCGCGGCGCACGCACGGACGGATGACGACCGGGTTGCGTGTGCATCATGGCGGCCCCCGCGGAGAGATGCACAGACGCGGCAGGTTCGTGGACGTCGACAGTACGTTACCCGAATGCATTCGGCTGTGCACTTGCGCACGTAACCGATAAGAACAGACCGACGTGCGCTCTGTCGTTATCGCATTCGTTCGCGAACCGCCGTCCGCCGCGGCAGCCGCGTCGTCCTCCGAGCATGCCACCGCCGTGCGCCGCGCGCGTCGACATCTTTGCCCAGCTGATCACGTGCTCGCGGCCGTCGTCTGCTACTTTCTCTGCTCCGAATTATCTCCGAGTCGACTTCGACCCTTCTCTCCGCGCTCCGATTACGAGGAATCGCACGACTTATCGAATTGCGCGATTGCAGAGCGTTTTGATTAATTTAATGCGCCGCTCTTTTCACCAATGGATTCTTCGGTTAATCTTCTGTTGATTTCAGGTAAATCGTATAATAATTTAACGGTGATCTTTAAATATTTATTTTGTGTATTTTCATCTCTCCCGTTTATTCACACTGGTAATATTATTTATAAAACGAGTCTAGTCCGTTCTTCACTTTAGCAACGTTCGATTAATTTTTGATTAATTTCAGATAGATTATTTGTAATAATAATATCTAATAATTTAGCAATAGACTTTAATCAACAGTCACATTTATTTTGTTTCATCTCTGCCTCCTCCTCGTTTATCTACGTCGTAATATTATTTGTAAGACGAATACACAGCTATGCTTTGTTAATCGAGCTTAATCCGATATTTCGCGGCTAACGATTTGGTCGCACTTTCGAAAGATTCTGACGGCTTTCCGTCGAGCTGCAATTGTCGGAAAAGCCGCTCGAACATAGATATCTCGTCTCTCGTCATGAAGCACACCGTCAGATCGAAGCGATTACACGTGCTCAGTATACCGAGAAGTTCTATAATTGACGTTACGTCGTCCACACGTGACAGGTGCTGCTGACACGCGTTCGCGAAGTCACCGAGGAAAGACGGCGGGATTTCCACCCGGAAGACGCGATGCTGCAGGTCGTTTCTGCAACAAGAACACATTGTTCCGCTGATGTACGGCGATCACGTCGGCGACACATCACCATACGCGCGTCTCCCTTGCGATTCTCACCTGTGATTCCACATGTAGGCAAACTTTTCGCAATAATCCGTGATTGCTCTCCAAGATTGTAAAAAGTCCTCGCACGTTTCTCGAGTTCCTTTCGCGGTACTTCCGTTGCTGCCTTTATCGCGTGTCGATTTACTCGAGGCTGCCGATGCGGTCGCGTCGTGAGACCTGGCGGGATTAATCAGCGGATTCCATTGCGCGCCGATCTTAGGTTTCATGTCGTCGCGATCCAGGGGCTTCAAGTGAGCACCGTTCACCTGTCGTTATAGTTCATTAATTCAAAGATTTACTGGAGAATTTTTAAAAAGTATAATAATTTTTTTATTCAAAATATTTTATTTAATTCTGTCTTTACTTAAAAAAAAAAAAAATTAACCGATTAATTATGTTAATTTAATTGTAATTTGGAAATGTAGATATTCTCGATGAAAATTTCGAATATTAATTTTGAAGCTACGCACGACCACGTGTACTCAACACTTCTTGATTATACACGACGACAAATAATCGAGGTTACAATCACCATCTGTCTGAAGTGCTCGTACGTCGGCACCGCTTGTTCAATCGCTCGAATTTTCGCGTCGTTTTGTAATTTATACAACTCGTCGGCCGCGAGAGCCACGTGAAGTTCCTCTTCCAAGTTTCTATAATCAATCGGCGCTTTTAACGCACTCATTTTTTTCTCCTTCGGCACTCTCTCCGATCGAGTTCCACGACAGTCCGGCATTGATAACACGACGGTTTGTCGTCATGGAAACTCCGGCTATCAGCTCGATCTGCTATTGATTAAAATTTTACTTGCTCTACTCTCCACATCGCAATCTTTTTATTTCCTTATAATAATATCGTACAAAAATTATGTGATTTTGTACACGGAGAGAATTTTTTTTTAAATTTACCCTGAAAATCATGTTAATTGTGGGACAATATAGTATTTAGGCAAATTTTACTGTGCACTACAATAAGATTTTACAGTAAAATTTATTGTAGCGCACAGTCAAATTTGCCTAAATACCATATTGCCCTACAATTAACATGATTTGCAGAGTAGATTAAAAAAAAAATTCTCTCCGCGTAGCTGTAAAAAATAAATGAATAAATTTTCTAACAATTCTAAAAAATAAAATAATATGTACAGTTCGGAATAAAACGGAGATTAGCGGAGATTAGCGCATTACTTCTTCAGTTCCTCGTAATAATAGCCTCCGCCTCGGATATAATCTTCTCCTTCACCAGTCTGCTCTGCCTTTTTTTCAGCAATCTATCGTGGGTTCTCTTCATCTCGAGTATCTCCTTCATCTCCTCCTTGTCGTTCTCCTAAAATCGATACCGTCGTAAACGTGTGGAGGGTCTCCATTTGTTCTCCAGCCGCGGGATTCACGTGTAGGTACTCACAGTTTGATGCAATCGCAGAACCAACGCCCGACGGCCGTCGGACATCGGCTGGGAATAGTCCGTCAACTTTTTCAGTCTTTCAGCGGGACTCACGCCTCTCTCCACGACCAAGACTATGCGCGCCCACTGGACATACACACGAAACAAAGTTCAGTCTGCGTGGAGCTCGATCGCGATTTTCCATTCGGGCCGCGTGTATACCATCGATGGTCCACGTTGGCGCATTTATTGTATATGTGCCAAAAATTATATTTATATTTTATGATATATGTATGTTTAAAATATTTAATGCATTTCATAATAGCTTCAAAATCGTTACGAGATACACGCGTGTATCACCGATGATACATTAATGCGATAACTATATTTTGCACATTAATTATGTACGTATCGATCAATGATATGAAATACTTTATAGTATATACATTTGTTTTTTTTTATATTGATAAAATATCAAATGGCCCGAATGGAAAATTCAGCCTGGTCCATCGATGGTAACTGATGAAACATGTCGATGACGTACTTGCCGTTGCCATTCGTTCCTGGTTTCGGCTATCTTCTGGTAAGTGTTGCCCATCATGGCGATCAACATGTTTACGAGCAGGATCGCCACGATCGCCATGTACAACACGAACAGCAGCTGCAATTAGTATAGCGATTACCGCTTTGACACTGCCCGACCGAACGTATTTGACATTTTTGCATGGCGCGTATGCGAGTGAGTCATCCGTTATACGCGAGGTAAATTTATGCGAATTATCTAACTGTCGTTGAAGCGTGTGACGCGAACGTCAATTAACGAACGCGACGGTAGAGTTTACATCTATCTGTGAATAAATCATAATATCGTTCTGTGTGACGGCAAGCATCAGAGTTGTACCTTGGCCTCGAACTCGTGCTCGGTTCTCTCGAACGCGCCGAAGTAGTCGCCGAAATTCGTCATGCTCATCAGGAACATCGCCATCACGCTCTCCATCGGCGACGGCATCGGATTCGTCATCGAGTCGTCGATGCCTTCCGGGGTGTTTGGGTTGTCGAACGACAGGAATATGATGTAGTACGCTGCGAAAAAATTCGGCATCCGTTGTACAATATCGCGTATGCGATATTTAACATACGCTATTCGAGATACGCCAGAAGACGTCGCGGAAATCAACTCAAGAGGGTGTCCCGGCGCTAATTGATCGATCATCACCGCGGATGACGTATCGATCTATGAGATTTCCTATTAAGGGGAGATATACACTTGTAGGAGCCGGAAAAAAAGGTCATTTTTGAGAATTTTTTTAAGGAAAACTACTTGAAATTTCGGATTAGGAGTTTTTCTATCTAAAAGTATACACATTCAGGAATATGTTCAATTTTTTTTATTAAAAAAAATCAAAAATTGACGAGGTTGTTGTATAATCTTCGGAGCGCCGTAAAAAAATCCGGTACCCACTGGCGTTTCTTCAAAAATCATCTCAAACAAAAAAACCAAAAAGATTATTAAATTAGATACTATAATCTAGTACTTGTTATAGGATTTTTTTTTTCATTGCTTAGTTTTTGTTTTATAAGTAAAATAATAACTAATTTTTGGTCGAAAAATTGCTATGTTATGTTCAAACGTCCGCCATTTTGTCATAAATTGATATTTTCAAAATCGGCTATGACAAGTACTAGATTATAATATCTAATTTAATAATCTTTTTGGTTTTTTTGTTTTAAATGATTTTTGAAGAAACGCCAGTGGGTACCGTTTACCAGGATTTTTTTACGGCGCTCCGAAGATTATACAACAACCTCGTTAATTTTTGATTTTTTTAAATAAAAAAATTGAACATATTCCTGAATGTGCATACTTTTAGATAGAAAAACTCCCAATCCAAAATTTCAAATAGTTTTTCCTTAAAAAAATTCACAAAAATAACCTTTTTTTCCGGCTCCTAGGTGTTATATATCTCCCCTTAAGGAAGTTTCAGGGAAATATTTTGAGATAGTTACATCCGCGTGCGCGAACAGGCGGTCAATTCAAGCGGCGACATCGCCGTGGCGTTTGTTTGCCGCGAAAAGTAAGACACAATCGCACGCACAGCGTCGTTGCGGCCACGCTGCTGATTGCACAATCGCGTATTATCGCACCATTTAACGTATCTCGCGACCTTCTCGGCGTAGCGCCTCCTTCTGCGGTTTCTTCCCCGCGCGCGCATCGAGGATTCGTTACGGGAGGCCTCCGACGGTCGGGCGCGATGTGTGTCAATGTCGCGTGTTGCAGCGTTCGGTTAGAAAATCATCGATTAGATCACATACGACGTTACGCACTACGACGTCCGATGTCGATAGCCGTTATACCGGCTAATTAACCATTGTTGGGAGTCAATAGAATAAGGCACCGGCCGATTGTCACCGGCGTGTCACCGGCGAAATTGATGATGTCCCTCGTTTTCTTGCCATCATTATATCTCTTCGGCTTCGATTATCAATTGCGATAATCGGCAGCAAGGCCGTTTATTGTGCCCGGGACAGGGCCTCATTCATAAAGATAAATGGAACAGCCTTTCGTCACGCAAAGTTAAAGGAGAGAATATGAGGGTCCTATAAAAAAAAACGCTACGCGTTACCTTGCGAAAATCCCATGACGAAGACGAGGTAGATGCAGACGAATCTGAGGAGGTCGCCCATGATCATCCTGTAAATCATCACGACGAACGGCCCGACCGTTTTGAAGCCACGGCAGAAGAACAGAAAGTACGGCGCCGTCGTCAGCATCACCACGACCGCCAGCATGTCTTCGACCTCGTCGGCGCAGGCAAATCGTAGAAACGGGAACGACAGCAGGATGCAGCACGAGAACAGGAACATCACGCGCGACGGCGCCGTCGCCTAAAAACCGCACGCTCGCGTTAACGCGTGTTACGAATCACGGCGTTTTTCGGCGGTATTTCGTAGTAACATTAATCGTTCATATAGTATTATACTCAATGTGATTCGCTATGACAGAGGTTTAACCGCGATTTGAATATTCGAGAATTGTTAAGACAGCCCTTGTTAGGAATATAAAAAATTAATTTCTATTAATCATCATTTCTCCTAGTTCGATTATCTCTTTTGTATGTTATAAGAATAACATCTCAATTGATTCTTACGAGATTTTCGATGAATATATTAAGACCTAAGAATCTCGCCTCCCGCAACGCAGCTAAGATGTAGAGCACCGCCGAAATGTACATAAAAATTTCTGCAGTTAGACGAAACTTTGCACTCGTTTCTGATAGCTGCATCAATCTGCACTCCTCTGTGAGATCGTCCCACCTATCAAATAAGTTATTTATTCCATGACATTGGAATATGTATATACATATACAAGACACATACATATATCGAGATATCTATAAATTTTTCCAATATTAAATTTTATTCTAAATTAAGTTTAAAAAATTATATATATATATAACATTCTATTTTATTCATATAGCTTTCTTGTAATATTTTTTGTAATGCAAACTTTTTATAATGCCATATTTCAACGTACCAATCGTCATCAAATTTTGATAATGCGTCGTCGATCATCGTTTTGACAGTCGAATTCGCATCTGCGACGGTTTTGTTGTACGCATCCGTGAAATAGTCGGACGCGTTTGGAGGACTGTCGGTGTACCACAGCGTGTGAATGGCGGGCTCGTCAGGAGGACTTAGAATGCCCTCGTTTTCGCTCAAGAGCAAAATGCTCTTCAGGGCCGACGTGATGTTCGACGTTACTTGCAGCTGGATCTTCTCCAACGATTCCTGGGTCATGTTTAACGATGATGACTTCAGATTCGAGGTGAAAGCCGCCACGAGGCTATTCGTAACCAAGTCCGACAGATCCGAGCTTTGGAGGTGCTTGAGAATCATGGGCTCCGTTATGTTGGAGGAATTCGTCCTCGTCGACGTGTCGTTCGCGTTTTCGTCCGTCTCCACGATCGTCGGGCCAGGGCGAAGGGTGAAGCTAATCACCGAGAGTATGAAGTGGAAGCAGAAGAGGAAGAATTGACGGTAGAATCTAAAGATTAAAATATCTCTTCTAAGCATACAATCGTTTTGTAGTTTTATATTTAATCACGAAATAATCTTTAGCGTATTTAATTCTTTATAACAGTAAAATAAAAGATTATTTTTCTCTTATTTTATTGTACGCACCGAAATTTCACGAAGGTATTCCACTTGGCGTTTAAAAGATCGACTAGCACACCGTCCATCAACTCCAAATGTTCGTCTTTGTCCTGCAATCATCGCGAAACATTCTGCGATGTTCTAACTGTAAAATATAATTAGCGCGTAATTCATTTCGCTTACGCCAAAGACAACCAGATTCAGGGCGGAATTCTTGTTGATCACTCCCGTGTTAACGTCGATCGTATCTATTTGCGATAAGGGGTAGGCCGCGCAAGTTATGCTACCGATTTGCCAGTATATCTCCCTTTCGATGTTCAGGATGTGAAAGAACATCTCGATCCTGGCCAACTTTGCTGACAAGGTCAACGGAGTCAGGTGTTGAACATTTCTTATGCCGAGAGAAGCCCCTACTTCGTAGGCCATGTCGAACGTGGCCTGAGATCAAATTGAAGATCGAAAGAATAAAATGCCATGAATTACTCAAATTTTTGTATTTTTTTCTTTTTTAGTAAGCAGCCTATCTTGATATTTTTTTCTTATATATTGTTAATCAACTATCATTAAATCAGTTATTAAGATTATTAAATTAATTATTTAGTTCATATTTTTTAAAATTAAGCAAAATTTAAATAACAAAAATATAATACTTGCCACTTTTTCGTATATCGCCAGCATATGCATAACGGTGTTGCCATTCGTGTCCTGCTTATCGGGATCCGCGCCTCTGGCTAGTATAAGCCTGTAACACTCTTCCTGACCAAGACACGCGGCGAAACTTAGCGGATACTCTCCCCAGTACACGTAGCTGCGGGCACAATGATAAGACAGATCGTTTAACTTCATCGAATTGGACGTGTAAGACTACATTACATTCTCGGCATCGCACTTAGATCCATTAACCTGACAAGATCCATTAAAATCTCTGATAGAATTTAATCGCGATATTGAGAATATTTGAAACTCGAAATAAAGTTAATGATTTAATTAACGAATCACAATGGAATTCTTTCTGCCACGTCAAGTGAGAGGCAACGATAATCTAATGTCGTTTCCGTAAAAAATGGTACACCACACCCGCTGTAATTGGTCTCCGGTGTGACGCACACCCACTCGTGGTCCATATTGTCGAACCTCGACGCCTTCTGATCTTCTGGGCACATAAAGTTGCCGAAGCATCTCTCGTGAATAATGCACGGATCGTCCGCCCCGCTGTCGAGAAGGAACTTGACCATCGACGGATCCTCGTTCACGATAGCGATATGCAAGACATTCTCTCCTAAACCCAAAGTAGATCGGTATAAAGCTAGAAGGCAGTAACTGCCGGGGATATATGCAGATATCTTTCTTTTCCACTAGATTCTATTTTTACGAATTAAGAATGTGTCGCATACCATATTTGTATATCTGCAATAATATTTTGACGATAATATACGTTTTGTTGCGTGACAGATTTATGTGATCTGAATTCAAAAGAACTGTCCGATTTAAAAAATCATAAAACCCCGCGAGGGTCCCCGCTGCGAGATGAATAAATGGTTTACCTTGGAAATGCTAATTTTCCATTACGCAAGCGATACTCTATGAATAGATAATTTATCCAGGACGCTTATCGGGGAATTTATCGGTAACGGATATTCTATATGGACAATCTACCTCGTGAAGCTGCCTCGTAAAGGAGAGAGGGAGAGAGAGAGAGAGAGAGAGATGCAATAACAGCTTTAATTCATCGCATTTAATTTGATCTATTCCGTAATCCGATGATCGTCATGTGTTTCATAACGATCGCGAAAAAAGGAGACTCGAGCTTACCATAGTACTCGTCGCTCATGTAAATATCGTTTATAAGCAGCGGATAGAAGCGCAACAGTCGTTTTGCCAAATCGGCGTGGATGGCGGTCGCGTTTAGCATGCACAAATGCAAAATAGTCTCGCCGACGGCACCTCGGTCGTTCAGATTCCAACACACCAATCTGTATTTGCTTTTATCTGCCAAGAATTTATTTGTCGAGTAAATTATTTTACAGCGTGTAACTCCGCAGGCAATTCAAACAGTCGGTCATAGAAATATCTTTGTACGCTAGACAGTAATTTATATCGCAAAATTTATACCGGGATTAAATTTCGTCGTGACACTACCTATCTTAGCCTCGTCAACATCCTCGTCGCCCATGTCTTTATCTATGTCGTAATCCGATGGGTTTTCCATAGCCTTTAGAGGCGGCAGCTACGCAGCGCGAAAAGAAAAATTATTCAAAGCATCGGTATCACGATCGAGCGTGAGATATAACGTGAGCGATATCGGTTTCGCGTTACCATCTTATGCCGCGGACCATCTTTATTTCGAAAGAGGACCAACTTTTCCACGGGTATCCATTTGCCTTTTCCCTTGTTGTACAGATACGGCTCGACCTTCGTCCGCAACGAGTGATCCAGCTCCGCGAATTGCTTGGTCTGCGTGGCTCTCTTCATCATATCCACTAACAATCCGCCACCTGCGCAACGGTATAGATAGCTAAATATTTGACCGTGCAGAACAATCGAAGAGAAAAACGACGAAAAAAAAGTCGTTTCTCGAAATGAAAAAAAAAGAAGAAGAAATTTTAACTCGGTCTCGCGCCGTGACTCAGAAATGAGGGATGCCGCGGCGCGTGGAGAATTGGCGAACGCGGGAAATCCCCGCCGAAAGTCGACGCGAATTCCGGAAGCCGTGCCAGCGGCTCAAGAAGGTCCGCCGACGACGACGATTCGCGGTCGCGCCAACGTCACCGCACAGGATTAAATCGCGGGCGGGCACGTGGACGCGCGCGTTGCGTCACGAGTGCAAGTATTTGGATCGCGTCGAGTGCCCGAGAGCTATTATATCGGGCATTAGCACTCCGGCCGTCACCGTCGGAATCGGTGCGGTGACTCACGGGCGATAAATACGGGCCGAGGCGGAAGAGGAGAGAAAGAGAGTGCGGCGGAGAGCTCGCGGCCCTCGAGACGTCTCGATTGCAGGCGTCAAATCCGCGCGGCGCATCGCGCGGGAAACGCGCACGCCGCGTGACGGCATCCCTATTTTCGCGATAGAGAAACGCTCTTGATGTTTTCCCGCGTTGGCTAAAAACAACACGCGCAATTACATATATTACATATACATTGCGCACGGCCAGTTAAACGCAACCTGTCGGCCTGTCGGCTCGTGATGTCAAAAACGTCAGAGCCCGCCAACATTACGAGGGAGCCGAAACGACGTCTTTCTATTTCTCTTCAAGCAGCGCATTCGCGTAACCCATTATCGTAATAATGTCGCGACTTTAGGATCTCGATTAGAGCTTTCATTAATACAGGTATTTTAATAAAATTGCGTTCAATAAGGGAATGATGAGAAATCGCGATTCATTTTTAAATTTATCGTGTTGCTCGATAAATTGTTTAGCTGTTATAGACGTCATTTCGCATCGCTCAGTTTTCTATTACTCTGCAATTTAAAAACTCAAGACTTGTGCGAAACATTTATGCAATCCGATGACACACATATATTGTGCTGATTCCGACAGAATTAATATCAAGTCGATCGTATTTTTTTTGGATCAGAAGTAATGAAATCGACGATTTCTAAGTCTATCTCTCATAAAACAGATGCGTGAAAATATTATATAAGAATTGTTAGAAATAACATAACTTACAATTAGTCGTGCGACATGCAGGTCATACTAAAAAAATAATGAATAAAAGTAACTTTTGAAAGTCTCATACGCGGCAAACATATCCTTTCACGTCCGCAAAAACTTTAATTATTCCTCTTGTCAGTCTTATTATTAATATTGTATCTCATATAAATTCCATGGCGCGCGTGCCATACTCACAATTATATTTTTCATTTATTATTTATAATTTATAATTTATACTTTATAATTTTTGTTTAAACGATCCTTTTTAAATGGACAAACAATTCTTTTTTCTTGAAAAAAAATTTTTTTTCTCCTAAAACATATTTTGCAATCGTGAAGATGCTGAAAGTGAGGAAACGAAAACACGGAAGATTTTTTCCCTCCCACTTTCCTCTCGTCCACGTCAGTTTCACGTGCGAAATTCAAGGGATCGGGGGGGGAGTGAGGAGACGGAAGGGGAAACGGAGAGGTCGTCGGCACATGCAACGCCATCTTGTACAGTCTGGTGCAAGTGTTGCATGCACCGTCGCGGCAATTGCTGGCGCAAGTCTGTGGGAAGAGCGAGAGCGGCCGGGTTTGTGGCCGCCGCCGCCGCGGCTACTGTCAGTGATTAGACGTGGCACGGTACAGTGCGGCCAATACGGCGTATCATGGCGCAGTGGAGACAGGAGACGATATTGAAGCTGATCGGTGCGTATCGCGCGAGGCGGCTCCTCTGGGACCACAACGCGCCGGACTACACCGATCGGAGCAAGAGGATCTACGCGTGGAAGGAAATCGCCGACGAGGTGCGACGAGTTCCCCGAGCTCATGTATAAGTTAACGCCGCGCTTGCAAAAGCGCTTACTACGCACACTCCGATCCTTTTGTAAATATTTTCGACTTGATTTTCGCAAAAATTATCGTCGCGTAAATTTTCAGAAACGTTTCGTTCTTATAACGCGCAGAAAATTCGACTTTTTAACTTGTAACATATATACATCTTAGCGGTATCACGGTTTGAAAAAAAAAAGAGCACGAGTGTCTTGTAAGAGTAGCGTTACAACTAATAACGGATCGATAATTTTTTTAATTAACAAAAGAAGCGTTTTCTTGGCACCTTTCTATATACGTTTCGCGTTCACGCTATTCGCGACGGCCAGCGCACGTGCGCGCTGGCGGGCACGCGGATGAAAAATATCTTGGGAGTGTATTCCAGACGCGACGCGTCCAACACTTGCGCAAGCCGTTGCGCAATGCTGGCGCATCGCGAGCGCACGGGAGTCTTTATTAGCCGCCGTTATAACGGAGAGCGAAATTCTCGCGGCGTTGCATAGAAGCGCGTTTGTGTACAAGCGGTCCGCGCAAAAAGAATTCACGCTTCACTTATTTATTGCCGGATTATGTAACGCGCCTTTGAATCCGCCGCCGGGAGCGCGTTTTCGCGACGACGCGAACTTAAAAAGAGGGAAAGAAAGAAAAGAGAAAAATTAAAATTAAAAAAAAAATGCACGGCGCTCCCTCTTATCTCATTGCGGATCTTGCACTCAGCTCGGATGTGACGTGATGACGGTGGAGAGGAAGCTGAAGAGCCTGAAGACTCACTTCATGTCGGTCCACAAAGCGTACGCGAAACGCAGGCTGAAGGCCGATCTGAATCCTGGCAGCGTCGTCAAGCCCAAGTGGTTCGCATACGAGGCCTTGACTTTCCTGAATAAAGGGCGTCTGACGCGAGTCAATCGCGAGACGCCGAACGTGGAGAAGCAGGTGCGCCACGAACTCCCGCGGATTATTGCCGCGGTCTCTTCGCGTACAATTAGCGTAACGATAATATAATTAAAATCAAAGCTAATATATAATGATTGAGAAGGAAAAATTATATAATACTTCAACCATGATTTTTTTTGCAACAGTCCTACTTGGCCATAATTCCTGTATATTTATTACCAATTAATTTTTTAAAGTAACGTCGCCACGCTCACACGAAATGGAGTCACATGCGTTTAATTAATTCACGATGTCTTCCTTATAGAATCCCGCGCCCGCCTGTAATTGGAAGCCCCAGGTACATTTCAATCTTATATTTCCATTAAATGCCACGTAACATAATTAATATTCTAATATTTGATGCGGAAAATAATATTGATGTAAAGTCATTAATTGATGTTTATCGCGTTGTATCGTAAAAATCGTGACATAGCGTTAACGAATTATTACGCGGAAAAATTATAACTAGGGAGCTCTCGAGACCTGCCGCCCGATATGACACACGCGTCACGTCAAAAACTTTCGATCTACACGAAACCTGCTTGTAAAGCTCGCGCCAACGTCACTTTTTTTTTTCCACGATTTCAGGAGATTTCGTCAGGTCGTGACGAATTTACGGTCTTTGCCGAGCACGTCGCAATTCGGCTGAAGAACATAACAGACGCGCGTGCGAGACTCGTCGCGCAGCATCAAATAAACAACATTCTCTTCGAGGCCGAGATGGGAAAGTATAGCATGCAGTCCTTCGGCAATCCGGAGCTTATGGACAACCTGGACGAGCCCTCGACGTCGCACGAGGAGAAAGTGATAATAAATAATATTCCCCAACCTATCTAATCGGATCTTTTCCTTCGCGAGCGCCGCGAAATTTTCAGCGAGTCATCCGCTCGCGCGTTACCTATAAGTACACGCCCGCCCGAGTTTTACGGCGCGGTCGTTGACAACGACAGTGATCTCTCTCGCTGCCCGTCGTAAATAATGGCGAACGACGAAAGCCATCGGCTTTAACGACGGGTCTTCCGAGTCTCGCGAGAAAACGGTTTTGCATGCTGCTGAGTCCGCTCCGCCGAACGCCGACTCTATTTATGTGCCTTCGTTTTGCCCCGACATATCGTCCTAATCCTTCGTCGTTACGAATTGCGAAAACCGCGTCAAAAGCCAGCTTTCGTCGAACGCGGCCGAATATACATGTGCTGACAACGTGGAACAACACACGTCAGAAATCGGCAAACGGTGCGCGGTTTCATTTTTTTCGTGTATGTTCCCGTGTTTAAAACGAAGTATATATATAGAACGTAAAGTACATATCGATTCACATACGTGTGTCGGCGGATTGAATCTATTTTTTTTTTTTCGTTAATTGTATTTAATTATTTTTTAGTTTATTTTATTTCGTTTCGTCACAATCGAACCCGTCCTTTCAATTGTGAGAATCGAATAAACTGTGGTAAACGTGTACGTTTGATTATTTCGCTCACCCTTCAAATCGACTAATTTATAGAGCTGGATGGACGACGTGTCCGTTTGTTTCTTCACGCCGCTCGTAACATTGCTCTCGGTATTACCCATCGTTTACAAGCACACTTCACTTCCGACGTTTAAGTGCTCCCGTAGAGGAGATGTTGCTCTCGCATCAGTCGAATGTGCGGCACGGTGCGCGACCGTTAGCCGCCGAAATTGATAAACGCGTCTGTTTGGTTGCCAGGATACCGCAGTCGATTATCGATTAAACGGACCTTTAACACCTCTTGCTTTTGAACTTACGCCGAAATTTGATCAATCCAATTTAAAAAGCCCGTACAGCGGACTTACTGGAGATTGAGGATTGCGAATTGAAGATTAGAATCAGATAATTATAATCTTATTTTCGTTTCGTTCTGATTGATTAAATTCTAATCTCCAATTCGCAATCATCAATTTTCAATGCACAGTCCGTTACGGATTACTCAATTTACCGCGCCTTTTATTATTCCCTTCTAACGGAATTATATAATACATTCTCCTCTTTTATCGTGAATCAAGAAATAATCGGCCGGAAAACCTTATACGTCGAAAAGGAAAACCGCAAAGGGATCCGCAAATTTGACGGCGGAAAGAATTAATTGGCCAGAGGGGGGGGGGGAGGGGCAAAGCGAAATTTTCGGTAGGAAATCCTGTTCTTGCGGCTCAACAGAATCCTGTGCCGAAATCCGCAAGGCAAGAATCGTGACATTAATTTCTACGGAGCGCGCGTTGATAAATTCGCCAAATTAATCGGTCGATCGTAGGAGAGTCAAATAACAAAATATGCACATATATAAATGCATTGTGACTGCTTTGTACCGAATGAAATAGCAATAATAAAAATTGATTAATTTATCGGTGTTTCGAGATTAGTCACGCCGCTGTGATAAAATTGATCGTTATCGTTTAAATACTTTAAATGCATCGCGCGTTTTAGTAATTTATACATTAATTGTTACATTCCCCAGCGTGTGCTCTATTTTACAGCAAGACGGGGGAAGAGGGCGGGGTGAGAATTAAGGCTGACAGATTTATAAAGGTCACGGTGAAGATCAGTTATCTCGTGTCGCGCGGGTCATCGCTCTCGTACAATTGCTCAAAGAATGCAAGGTTTGCGCGGGGACTGCGCGCTGCACAGTGTAACATAAACGTTAACATCGTTTAGGCGTGTCTCTCTCTCTCTCTCTCTCTCTCTCTCTCTCTCTCTCTCTCTCTCTCTCTCTCTCTGGTGCATACATCGTAACATTGCGATTTTGATAACTCGAGTTAAAGGGGATCAATAAATAGTTGAATTGCGAATTGCGTTGTCGATCGTTTCGCCGAACGATCGATATCGCGTTGAGAGATTGCAAATTTTCTCGAGCGATCGCCGATTCCAATTCCAGCCTGAATGCCGAGCGCCGCCGAGCTCTCTTTCATTTCGATCGGCTGGAAAGCCGCGAGCGATTTTCGCGCATACCTAAGGAATGACCGCGCTTTAATTTAGAAACCCGAATGCCCCCGAGACGCCGCAATGCACGCAATTGATCTTACGCGTTAAGCGGTTATAAATACGCTTACGAGCCGTGGGGCCGCGCTTTACCGCCGCGCCGGCTTACCGAGAACCGGGTGTACGCGAATGTACAATACCTACCTTGAGCAGGAAATTAGATTCTATTATTGCGCCGACGGTCTAGGACAGAACGAATCCCATTCGAATCCGAATTGCCTTCGACGAGCTCGATCTGCAGCCCCATTGAAGTTTAACGGACGCACGATGATGGATACAACTTCATGAAGTATATATATCTTAAAAATTCATGAAATAGCAAATTCATAGAAATGTATTTAAAAAAAAAAAAATCTTTGTTCCCAACAATGTCAATGTGTCGACAAGGAAACGCTGCTTCTCGCATGATTATCATGAAAACGTCTTTTTCATTACGGAATTCTCAAGAGAGAGAAAAAGAGAGAAAATAATATTGTAAAAACTAGAGAAAATTTCAGTCTTTATCCAATATTAATATCAGGTACGGTGTGCAATATTAACAATGTGTTTGCATTTAATTTGTAACTAACATTGGCTTTGTATCGAACGACGCAGGTCCAATATATTCCCCATACGTGTCAATATATTGAATATTTAACTAACGTATCGCTATTGAATTGTGGTACTAGAGAAGAGGGGGAGGGGAGAGAAAGAGAGAGAGAGAGAGAGAGAGAGAGAGAGAGAGAGAGAGAATGGAAAAAGCGATAGAGAAAGAGAGAATCTGATGCAAGATTTGTTGTTTGCAACTAAACTTCGTAATACCTTTTATTTTCCTTATATACCTCTCATTTTCCTTCTATCTCTCCAATTCTCACGGCTGAATTATATACCTATTTCGAATGCGGAAAATATAACGTAGTACGACCGCGCAAGCCTGCAATCTCCTATATCTGCGAACGGTGAGATTGTGCAAAAATAATAAAGAAAAAAATTTCACGTACGATCTCCGTGAAAAGGCCCCGGAGGGATTCGAACCCTCGATCTCCTGTTTACTAGACAGGCGCTTTAACCAACTAAGCCACGGCGCCCGATTGCCTTCGGTCTTGTAATAGAGTTACATGAACGGACTCGATGTCGGCCGACTGTTTTACACAGCGAACAATTTTTTTACTCGAATAGAAATTTCGTTTACGTAAAAATATGTAATGATTTATTTTGACGGCGATAATCATCGCTCCCCGACTTCGTCGAGTGTGTTGCACGAAAATGTTACACGCACGGCGTGTCTCGGAGAGGACGCGGGAGAGAGTCGTAATTCTCTCCGCAAGAACATTCCCGTCACGACGCCGTGGCACCTATATATATATACTACACCGGCAAAAATTTATGAACACTTAAAAATGATCCTCTTTCCCACCCATCCCCCCCCCCTCCTCCTCCTCCTCCTCCTCCACTGCCCCCTCTCGTCGCTGTGTGCGACCCACATTTTCAGGGGCTTTAAATTAACTTGCAACACGTCCGCGCCGGCGAAAAGAAGACGCGATGCGACCCGTCGGACCAGCGTACGATCTATTTGTGAGATTGGAAATATATGAACGCGCGCGCGGCAAGAGAGAACGCGCGCCCCGCTATATACAAGCCGCCGCTTGTCGTTCCGAAACGAGGTGTAACATAATCAAAGTGAAATATGGATACGCGCGTTAAACAAACGACTGACCGAGAGGAAATGAGAGAATTTCAAAGTCGCGTTGAAAACGCGGAGAGAAATATACGTAACGCCGACGCGAGTAAAAAAAAAAGGAGGAGCGAGATCGCTCGCTTTCAGCCCGATCGCAATCGAGTTTTGACAGGTGCTCTCTCTAAGCTCCAGCACGTGGAAACGTACGAAACGTGGAAAGATGATGCTCCATATGATATAACCGACATCCTTAATACGATCTAGTTTCTTTTTGTAAATCTATCGACTTCGGTAACAAAGCGTTTCGATTTCAGTGCCATTCTTCGTCGATTTTCCCTATTACTTTTTATTTCCGCCAGACGAATTGCAAAGGTTGTCAAACAAACCGGAGGGAGTATACATTTCATTGAAATCGATTCGATTGTTATTTCAGTTTTCGGTAATTACAGCGCATTCAATAATGCAGCGATTTGATACCAACTTTTGCTCATGTACGTTTCCTGTTAACCCAACTCGTTACTCGGTGTCGATCAGTTTGGCTTTCGAGATGCTCGTTCCTGGCAGGCGTGGAAAATTCAACTTGTCGAAGTTACACATCAGTTTCGACGCCCACACGGTGTTTATTGCGTTGCGCAATTTTTTCGCGAACGTTTTAACTTCTCGATTACACTGCGCGAATGACGGCGGAAACAAAATTCCGACGCGCAAACTACGGCTGTATGTTATTATAAGTGAATCAAACGGGCGTTTTTTTTTTTTTTTTCGGAGATGAGTTTTCCGGACTAAAATAACAGAAGGCGGGAAAAAAGTCGCCGCAAGAATGCGCAATTAATGCTAATGCAACTATTGTATATATAGAGACGCGGAACAGGAATCGCCGCCGCGGTAGCTCTCGGCGATCCTTTCGATTGGCGAGAGAGAATTCCGTCGATCTTATCGATCTTATCTGTCAATTTTATCTCGTTATGTAATCAGCGGGAGCCAAGAGGCCGACGTGCACTTTATACGTCGATCGGAAACTAATCGCTAATTATATTAGGATTGGCAAAGCAAAATAACACGGATATCGCCGTTACTTTTTTCTCGACACGCGAAATAAAATCATGCCCGCCTGATCAATGCAACGAGACGATTAGCGACGCCTAACGAACGACGCGTGGAAGATCATACGTTCCGAATAACAGAATTCGAATGGAGCACAAGGTGTTCGTTGATATACGCTCCGGAGAAAGGACCTCGCAAGAAGCGGCTCGTTGGTCTAGGGGTATGATTCTCGCTTAGGGTGCGAGAGGTCCCGGGTTCAAATCCCGGACGAGCCCGTTTTTTTTTTAAATCTTTTTTTCCTTTTCACCCACGTGTGGATTACTGTCCGAAATTCCACGTGACGCGTCTACGATTTTTTTTTCTTCGTCTATGCGATAATTCGAATAATAAATGTTTCTGGAACCTCCTCTCTAGTTCACGTGTAAATGATACAGTCGAAAGATCGATGCCTGCAAACGCGTTTCATACAGAGATTCCATTATTTTTAGAAATTCCTGCACAGCGAGGAGTCTTATAGAATGGTCGCAACCGTCGATTCTTCATCAAATCGCATCATTAGCGATCGCAATTTCCGCATAGATTAACATCTTCCTTCTTCTCACCCAACGTCGTTCCGAAACAATGATGAATAATTAAAGCCAGACAGTCAGTCGTTATAAATAGCGTTGCTCGCATTTTCATCAGTTTTAACCGGCGACGATGCGCGATCGCGATATTAATTAATTTCCAATCGCAAATTGCGGCACGCATTATCACCAGCGTTCGATGGATTCGGCTCCGATCTCTCGCGCGTTGATCGAGAAGTCATTGCGAGTCGTCTTTCGAAAGAGCCGCGAATTTACATTTTACGGGTCGATTTAACGCGATCGATTCGCGCTCAATCGGGTTTATTTACATATGCGCCGTTTGTCTGCATTT